TGCAAACCAGTTCGAAATTTAAATAAAAACCTTTTATTGGTTACCTCCTTGGTAGCCATATTTCGAAGTAAAAGGTCATTCTATTTTTAAATTACAGGACAGATATGAGTTTACGTAGTAATTTATCTAGCCGCAACACACGACAGATATGGATTTTCATGCAACTTTTGCAGGCCGCTGTATCTAGCCAGTACGACAATTTTGATTTATCTCGAAGAAGACTGTCAAAATAATGCTCACATTTCCAAGCATTTTTGAGAAATAAATATTAATTAAATAATAAAAATTAAAACATAATCACTAATCGCCTGGTCTTCAAATTAGGTTACCATGTGTTATAAGAAACAGACCAACGAAATTCTGAGTGATCATCCCAAGCATCGAGATCCGAGCCAATTTAGCAAAGATTATTTTATAATTCTCAGCCGACAATCAAACGCTGAATCTCATTACTCAAAACAACATGCTAACCGCTACGCCAGGAAGGTCGTTAAAATTTTTAACCACAAAAAAACCACAAATTTAAATTCAAATTGTCTTTATTCGAATATACTTGTTTACGAACTCTTTTAATTCGTTATTTTTTATGATTCTTATACTGAGTTTGGGATGTTGTTCTCTGCTGAGAAGAACCCATAGGAAACTCAACAGTTACTCTTTTATTTATGCGTATTTATTTAAATGTACTATATTTTAAAGGACATGGGCTTTTAAAATTTCTGTATGGTAACAAAGAGAACTTAATAGTTGAGGGATGAACAGTAGCGTCCCTGTTAAAGCAACACCAAAGCCAAGCTGCGATTGCTAACTCCTATACCAAGCCTGGCAATTACTGGTTAAACCCCCCAAAAGGGGGAGGCCTGTGTTCAGTGGACAGTTAACAGTTGTATCTTCATATCATTATGGTCATTTAAAAACACGATTATAAAAATGTAATACAAATTTTCAAATTGCCACCATCTCCCGAGCTAAGACAGCAGCTATATTCATTATAAACACACTTTAAACACGAAGCCGCAAGCGAGAAACTTACATTAACAAGGCTCGAACTAGCAGCCAGTCTAACATACTCTTGTGTGTTTAATTTAAAACCGCAAGCACTAATTTAAACCAGCGGTTTCTTCTATCACTGGTAGTAACATCAAAAGTTTGTGTAGGTAAATCACAAATATAGCTTTAAGTTAGACATTGAAGTGATTGCTACTTTTAATTCACTGTTATTTGGTGAAATTATTTTTTGTTATTACATTGATTTCACATATGAAAAATCACAGGTGATTTTCACTTGCAATGACTTGATATCAGACTTGTTATTACTTTGCATTGAATGAAATCATTAATCATGATTTTAATTATCAATGTACCAAAGTCTCTGTACAGCCAGTCTTGAATGAATACTAAGATTTATTTCAAGTGTTATGCCATAGAAATTCTACGGAATGACAGAAATTACTTGAATAAAAAAGTAAAAACTAAAAAAAAATCTTGAGCCTTCACATTATTATTTTTTTATATGAAATACACGGCAACAAGCATGTGCTACATCTGATGATAAGTGATTACCATCACCGATAGGCATCAGAAAAATTACAGGTGTGTTACTCGTTTTTTAGGAAAAGATATGTTCTTTTCTTAAAGGATTAAATATCGTATCTATTCAGAAAACTGACCCTGTAAATTGATTCCATAGTTTGATAATGCATGGAAGAAAGTGTCTACACACATGCACAGTGGAGGGCCACACATCCAGATGGTCAAAATAGAAGTTAGACTAAGACAAAAGCGTCACGTTAATATTAGAAGCATTAAAACATTTTGCGACCTATTCTCGTATTTCTCGAGTGAGTCTTAGGAATAGGTTACATTTCACTGGTAGAACACTTTCTATGGGATGCTTCTTTCACTTTTATTATCAGGTAGCATTATATCAGGCTTATCTATCCATTGCTGAACTTAGGCTTCTGCAATCGACTGCCACGAGGAACGATCCTTAATCACTTACATCCACTGACTCCTTGCAATACATTTGATGGGAGGCTTCCTCGCCTAATGAGGGAAGGGGGTATCCTATATTACTTTTGCTCAAACGGGTTCACCACACGAGAATCTTTCTTCCCCGTCGGTTCTTGTCTCTTCAAGCTATGTGACCAGCCCATTGCCACTTCAGTTTGCTTATCCTTCGGGCTATGTTGGTTACTTTGATTCTTTTGTGGATATTCTCATTTTAGATTTTGTGACACCAAAAAATTACGAGCATATAACCCTCTTCATCGCTCGCTGAGTAACTTGAACCTTTTCCATATAGACAGGTAGCGCAAAAGTATCTAAATTTACTACTTTCTCAAAGAAATTCCTATTAAAACCTAGATGAAAAGATTACCTTTCCAAACAAACTAAACAGTAAACGCATAACTAGAGCAAATTTTATTTTTTTCTAACAACTAGATTTGAATTAAAAATGAAAAGTTGGTACCCAATTAGGTACTTTCAATGTTCCCAGTTGGAATAGATTTAGGTCTTAAGTACAACTTTATTTGAAGCTCGTTATATGAACTCCATGCTCGCTCGCGGGCATCCGTTTCTCTAGTACAAGATTCAGAATAGTACGAGAGACGAATGCAAGTTCTGTATTGAAATATCTTGTTGAATTATTGTACTGGAACGTGTTATTAGATAAAAGTGTCCTATTTTTAGATAAAAAATGTAATATGTAAATAGGTAGATAGATAATTTATTTGCATTACTTACAGCACACAAATTATAATACAAACATACACATAATACAGACATACACAGTAAAAGAAATAAAAGAATGAAAAACTAAAAAAAGCAACAAAAAAAAACAAAAATCAAAACACAAAAACAAACATTTTCCTTTTTTTCATGCGTGTGCCATAGTAACACAAAATGGTCACAACTCATTTTATTGCTTTGCTCTCAAAAGAGCAAAACACTGATATTCTGTTGTGGCCAAGAGTCAGTCGCGAAATTCCTTATTAAAAATAATAATAAAAAGAAATATGAATAAATTACATTGTGTGTGTCCATTATATTTGCCTTCATTTGATATTCTATTTTAAATAAATAAATATGTACTCGTATGCCCACGGCTGCAATTTCTGTAGGGCAGCCTCTCCCAAAATGGGCGATAATGCCCCCTTACGGGCACTGCAGGCCTAAAGGGGAGCGATAAGAGGCCCAGAAAAAAATGGGGACGTTGTGTAGAGGCTTGGGGGGTGATTTTTTGATCTTGAAGTAAGAGTAGTTTTTAAGTAGATGAAAAAATGGGGGCGTTAAAAAATAATTTATTCTCAAAGTGGACAGTAGACAAAATAAATTTAGGAACCCCTGCTGTAGGGACTTATACTCCGCAAAGATCACGAGTTGTGATTTATATGTCAAAATTTCTAACTATCCTACTAGAACTGACACTCCCGTGTATTTAATAATAGTAACTGCGTTGATATGTTGACAATTCGCGTCCAACTCCTGTCCCATTAAGTCAGGGTTTCCAAGCAACAGATATTACACTGAAAGCGTGCATTTCGCTGACATACACGTGTGTTGTTTGAGTCGTATCATATCATAAAATTACTTGTTAAATACTTATAAATTTGTGAGAACTCCCACGATATTTACGGCGTCTGTGAGAAAGACATGTTTTTATTCAAGTAAACTTAGATTGCTGTGTAGGTCCTGGCATAAAATAGGCCATTCCTTTCAGTCCCGTGGATTTTGTAAGAAGCAATTAAGAGAGTTAATCGTAGAGAGATGGGTAGCAGCGTTCTTTTTGAAACATGGCTATAAGCCAAACTGCGGTTGACGAACCTGCCAAGCGTGGTAACTACTAGCAAACTCCTTATGAGGGAAACTATGTTCAGAAGGGAAAGTTAACGGCTGATACAACAAACTTAAGTTTAAGCATTTTTGAATAGTCATTTTTTATGCAACTTAGAATGGCAAACAAGCTGACAGCCTACCTGATAGAAAGTAGTAATCGTCGCCCCTGATAGCCCCCATGCGTTGCACTTTCTGAGGACTCGGTTGTTATTCCTCTGTACCCTGTAAATTCACTGCCATATCCCACCCTTCAAATAGAATCACAGCCATGCAAACACAACTGCTTCATACGCAACACGAATGGGACAGAGGTGCAAACGACTTTTGTACAAAGTCTTTCTCTGGTAATTTGTGTACATTACATTACATTTTCTGTATTTTTTCACATTACCAAAAGGAGGCAAGTACGTTTTAGCGGTACTTCCGCATTCACAAAGGAAATTGTACAAGTGTGATTTCTACTGCAGTAAAAAGCTCTCAATGTTTCTACACGCTCGTATGTTGGATTATTTATTCCTACGTAACTCCGAAACATCGGAACAACATGTAACGATACCTCATTTATGGGAATGGGATGTCGTTCGGATCTCTTCACTCCGAAAATCAAATAGCACACAACGTGTCAAGAAAACAAATATGTCTGCAGTCTTCTACCATATTGCAGCTGTTTTATCCAACTGCTGCAGAAAATTTGTTATTATATTCATATATATATATATATATATATATATATATATATATATATATATATATATATATATATATATATATATATATATATATATATATATATATATATATATATATATGTGTTTGATATAATATATAAGACTTCATAGATTTTATGAATGAATGTTGTTAGTATTGTTGTAAAAAAACACGTTATAACCTATGTTTTTATGTATATGTATGATTAACAACTGTTAAACACAATAGCTGTTAATAACTGTTAATAAAGATAACTGTTAATAACAATAGCGACCGTTATTAATTGCCCCATAAAAAGTAAACTTTTTAATCAAGTCGTTATAACGCGTTAATTTTTCTAATTTTCTCCAAGAACGCTCGTCTCACTATGGTGTGTACATATTAATGTGTGGTACATATTAATGTATTTTCTTTTTTAATAAGCTACATAATTCTTTTATTTTGTCATCCAGTGCTCAGTGTCGTGCGGTGAAGGCGTGCAGGTCCGTGGGGTGGAGTGTACCCCACCAGGGGGTGGATGTGACCCCGCGAACCGTCCAGAGATCTCCCGCCCCTGTTCTACTGGAATCAGCTGTCCAGCTTACAGAGAATCTGATGAACCAGAGGTAATCAACTCTCAAGTTACATATACATTGTTTTTTAAGCATAAACTCAACAAACTACAAAAAATACCAGTTATTTCATTAGTATGACAATATAATATGATATAATTTATGCAGTACCGTTCCTTTTCCGCGGGTGTCATAATAGGCGACTAAGGGAAAGGTGAAAGTATGGGCAGTAGCGTCTAACTGCGGTTATTAACTCGCCTGCCAAGAATAACAAAAGCTATTGGGAGGTTTTGCCAGTAGCTGTTCAATCTACAATCTTCAATGCTACAATGTAGCAATCTACAGAGGAGGTCTATGTTCAATAGTGGAGAGTTAATGGTTGATATGAAACGATGACGATAAATAATAAATATTGCATTACATATAGATTTTAACCAGTAGTTATTTACATATAAATAACACTGTGATATCCATAATAACACATCACGTGTTACTATTTCAGAGAACTGTTATGCATACATACTCTATAACTTAACTGCCATATTGTACCTTTTAAACTCAACACAACTACTTCACAGCAGAAACAAAAGTGAGACAGAGTCTCCCTCTAGTGACAAAATAAGAATCTATACACGTTTCCTTTTAAAACAGGATGAAATCGAAGATCTTCTACCTGGCGTGGTGTACCACACTCAACCACTGATCCAACCGTACCCTCCAGCGCCAGCCAAAGCCGAAAGACTGATAGGACAGCCCGATGTGCCTGTTGAAGCCACGTAAGTTTGTATTTCTATATATTAATATACTTTCTTTAATTATTATAATGGAGGTAAAAGTGTTTTATGGTGTTAAAAAGCAATTCTGAACAGTATCATAGTGATTAGGGTAAGAAATGATTCTTTCCTACTTGTTCCAAATGTCTATAAGAAGGCAGGATGTCCTTGAAGGTCGTACCTTGATAAACTTTGGTAAGAACAAGTATTATTAAAAATAGCAATTACTACATAGTGGATGAACTATCTACTAACACAATTTGCTTTTTTCTATAAATAACGATATGAGAATAATTTTTTATATAGCCAATAGCTTTGATCTCTAAATTCACAATTTATGTTTGTGTTCCACAAAAAAAAATACACTTCAATTGTGGCAAAACATGTTATTTTCAACTAAACTACTGAAACGATTTCGATAAAATTTCCATGGGACCGAACTGAAAGTATATCCTTTCAGATAAAAAAAGAACTTTCTAAATCGGTTCATCGCTGTCAAAGTTATAATAAGATACAAAAATAAAAAATAGAACCAAAATAAAAACCTACTTTATTTCAAAATCGCTTGAATTTTTTTTAATTTAAGATTTGTTTTATACAACTGAGGTGGCAAACAAACACACGGCCCGCCTGATGATAAACAGTTACCGCAGTCTAAGAACGCCTATAATGACACAAGTTTACTGTTTTTGTAATTTGGTCCAGTAATGAGTAATCATCGTATCAGCCTTTAACCTTTGGGGGCATTTCCAATAGTGGCCACGCTTGATAGGCGGATTGGCAACCGTAGTTAGGCTTTTAGAGGTGTTTTAAGAGGAACGCTGTTACCCATCCCTCGCCCTCCTTTAATCGCCTTTTACGACACCCACGGGAAAGCATGGGATGGGCTATTCTATGCCGGGACCGACACGGTGAAGTAATGAGTAATATAACATCTTAATAATGAAATTTAATTCAAAACAAACTGAAACACAGCAACCCAAGTCAACACAACAACATCTTGGCAGTGGAAACACAATTCGAATGGAGCTTATACACTTTCATTCAAAGTCTCCAACTAGTAAAAAATTATACACATAATTATAATTAAATTAGACTACAGCTTGGGGTTCTTCAAAAAAGGGGTAAACAGGTGTAATCAGGGCCGGCAATGCGCGCGTATTGCCCCTTGTATTGCAGCCGTTCATAGGCTACGGTAACCGCTTACCATCAGATGGATCGTATACTAATTTGCTACCTCAAAGGTATAATTGCCATGTGGGCCTGACATAGAACAGGCCAGCCTTTCCGTCGGTATCGTAAAAGGCGACTAAGGAAACTTAATGGTCGAGGAATGAGCAGCAACTACCCTCTTTAAACATCAATGTCTAACTGCGGTTACTGACCTGCTTGCCAAGCGTAGCAACTGTTGGCAAAACAACCTAATAGGGGGAGGCCTACGTCCAGCAGTGGACAGTTAACGACTGATACAATTATATTATGATACTTATAAATTGCACTTTAAAATTTATTAATAAAATTAATAACATTATTTGATGCAAGAAACAATTTTTTTATACAACTTAGAATGGCAAACTAACTGACGGCCCACCTTATGGAAAGTGGTAACCGTCGCCTATAGACATGAGCAGTACCATGGACATAACAGAGTATACTGTTTCGCCCATGATACTCCCCATTCGTTGCCATTCCTGAAGACTCAGGTTTTATTCCTCAACACCCTGTAAATTCATTGCCATATCCTACCATTCAAACCGAAACACAGCCATGCAAACAACTGCTTCACGGTTGAAACACGAATAGAACAGAGGTATCCAAGCAAACGACTTTTGTTCAGAGTCTCTCTGGCAAAATAATTAATACTCTGGTAATAATAATATCATAAAAATATGATCTGTTAAAATAAAACAATACATATTCATGTTCATTCAACAGCTTATAATAAAATATGTAAAGCTGTTTTAATTTAAAATACGATGCCGTTTATACAGTTAATAATTCACTGGAATAAACTCATAAATGAAAATGTTAAAAATAAAATGAATAATCATATTTTCGTGAACATTTTTGCCTCCACAAGTTTTCCAATGTAAATATTTAAGTAGATTGTGAAAGTCTTTTATGTTCTTCTATTATTGTGATGTGTACACTGTTTCTAAATACAATAATAGTAATTATATTTCTCTTTAATATTTTTTTTAATATTTTAAATATTTCTTTATATTAAATTGTGTTTATAACAAATATACTAGGATTTTCAATAAAACAACGGGTCAATTGTTCAAAAATAAATTTATATTTTACATTTATTTATATACAATTCCAATGTTATGTTAATTATACAATCGATATAATTTACATTTATGTATTTAATCATATTAATTTTATATAAATTAAAAATAATATCTACAATTAGTTAATTAACATTTTTACATTTAAAAACCTAAGATATTTTAGAACAAAGTCAAGAAATATAGGTAATAATAAGTTTATTTATTTACAGCCATATATATACATAAATTAAACACAAATCACTTACAAATATTTAGTGGTTTACAACAATAATGAACGCTACAAAATTGCACCAATTTTACTTGATACTTAACAAACATTAGACAACTAATATCTGGAATTACAACCAAAATATTTAAAACTGGACTAATTTAGAATGGTTTAGTTTTTAAATTGCCTAAAACAAGAATCGAATCCGAACCTTATTTAAATGAAATAACCGTCTATAACTATATTGTAAAGTATGTTATAGATACATAATACTCTACTCTCCTTCGGCATAAATTATATTTAAATAATATAACTTCATGCAAACTATATAAATATATTAAGTGTTTTAAAATATATTTCATTTAATATAATTTATAATTTAATTTACTTCGAACAAATAAATTATAAATAAATGTAATTTACTGATAGGTAAATTTAAATTACAAAAATAAATACATTTAATTACATTTCATTTAACTTATGATTAATTTATTTATATATGTTACTAATTGAATTGTTATTTACATATTTTAATAGTTACTATTATTGAATTCCCCCTGTATGTTCAAATAGCTCAGAGTATTTTGTTCTTGTCTCTTTCAGCAATTACAAAATATTCTTTGCGTGTGGCTGGTTGTATGTAAGGTATTGTACCTGCATATACAGATTTTTAAAGGTTTCACTTTTAAATTCGAAAACATCACACATCTTTTACAAGGAATGACATTACCCTACCATTTACACGTACCCTGTGCAGGTAGTCCTAGTATAATATACTGCCTCACTGTTTGTAGTTTGTTCGAAAATGTTCCCTTTAATTGGAAATGTTTCGATCAGATACATTTACATAATACAATAATGTTTTCTTATAATAAACCTGTCAACATTTGACAAGGCAATTATTTATAAATACGAATAAAATAAGCGAATATATTTTATTTTGATTGTGTAATATAAATTGTAAATGTATTATAATATTTACAATAACTAACGTTTATGTGTAACATTTATTTACAAAATATATTATTATAAAAATGATAAATATATTTTAGTAAAAATAAAAATGTATTTTTAGGTTGAAACATATAAAGATCGTTTATAAATCATTGAACATTTTTGAACAATTGCATCATTATATTGATGGACGTTATAGATTCTGAATTCCTGAGCGTTACTAAGAATCCCTTAGACCGAAGCAAGATATGTATACAGAATATGTGTATATGAAGAAATGTCTAGATAACAACAGCGAACCTCACTCAAAGATTGAAGTCCAAATTTGTATGCACGAGTCCCTTATCACACGAACCCTTCAAATCATTACCCTTCACGGACCATTTGTCTCACTCTACGATACTTGACTTGCCTTTTTCTACTCTATATGCACTGCACATAAAGTTTAAATTTCCTTGCACATATGACCACACTATGAGAATTTGTCTTGCATTATTTTGTTTTGCTTACACTTTTCCAATACTCCGAGAAACTTTACAGTTTTCTGGCACACACTGACACTGGCTACGATATTTTTCTTCAAAAATTTGTCAATTTAGACAGTAAAAACACTTTAGATCTTATTACGTTAAATATAAAGCTAACATTTCTGTGTTCAGATTTCCAGGTGAATGGCATACAATTGGCGGATAACAAACCACATAACAAAAACACTGGTGCATATACTTCTACATAAACCAGCCAGAATTAACGATTAAGACCCTTTTCTATTAGAACCTAAGCACCCCGCATGATTTCTATACCATTGTGTGAATCTTCAATAGATTTTGTTAGCATAGATTTTTCCGTTTAGCAATTTGCTTATAAAAAGTTTATAAACCAAACATTTGTTTTAATAGTTACATCAAAGACGATGAATGGGGGCCGTGCAGTGTTACATGCGGTGAAGGATGGAAAAAGAAAGAAGTGCACTGCAAGATCTTTCTAGAATTCAGCAGAACTATTGCTAAACTGCCAGACAGTAAATGTATGGGCCCCAAGCCTGCCGAAGAAACTGAGAGATGCGTTATGGAACCATGTTCTATGGCTTATGGCACTTCATTTGGAGATTCAAGCGTACCATCATATAGCAGTGCAGATAGGTAAGTTTATTATTATTTCTTTCTTTTTATTCGATTACATTTGTAAGATAAACTTAGCAAAACGTGTAGACTATTGCAGTACCTTCTGTGTTATTGAAATCAAAGTTAGCTGGCAAAACGGTGGCTTTAACCGAGCTGCTCTAATTAACTTCCAAGTTTAACCTCCAATTAACAACGAAAGGAACTATGCTCCTTTAGTTTGGTGCGACTTCAAATCTCTCTTCTATAATGTGCTTGCAGTATAGCCTGCCTCTGTTATAATTTACTAGTGTATAAGTTTTTGTAATTAATTACAATTTTTCATTGACAATATCCGCAAGAATAGGAAATATATACGTCACAAATTGATATTAACTAGATTCAAAATTTCTGATATTCCTTCTGTCTAAATATCTTTTACTACTAAATATATATTCCATCAAAATATACATATTTTTAATTATCAGAGTGACATTGATCTGACCATTCTATTTTAAAATGAATAAAATGATAAATATATAAGATATTTTGTAGGCAGATTAGATTGAATATTTAAATTTAGAATGCAGAGCAACCAAATCTGACTATTCTTTTTTAAAACGAATAAAACGAGCTAATGATAAATATATTAGATATTTTGTAGGCAAATTAGATTGAATATTTAAATTTAGAATGCAGAGCAGACAAATCTGACTATTCTTTTTTTAAAACGAATAAAACGCGCTAAAGAAAAATATATTAGATATTTTGTAGGCAGATTAGATTGAATATTTAAATTTAGAATGCAGAGCAACCAAATCTGACTATTCTTTTTTAAAACGAATAAAACGAGCTAATGATAAATATATTAGATATTTTGTAGGTAAATTAGATTTAATATATAAATTTTGAATGCAAAGCAGACAAATCTGACTATTTTTTTAACGAATAAAACACGCAAAAGAAAAATATATGAGATATTTTGTAGGCAGATTAGATTAAATATTTAAATTTAGAATGCAGAGCAGACAAAAATAGATTCAGTTTCGCATTGTGCAGTATTTTACTCAGTAAAGAAAAGCGATACCTTAAAAACGTTTATAACTTTAACTTATTGGAGTGTAGCAATGTCGCAATTATCTGTTAATCATAAAAATTATTTAATATATTTTTCAGCGTTTATGATTTATTATTATTTAAAAAGGGTCTACTAACGAACCGAAAAGTTAATCATAAAATACATACATACCTATCACGCCTGTCTTGCATTAGAGTAACAACTTTGTTAAACTAGTAAAAACTTTGCACATAAGAAGTAGTCTTATTTTACTTCGGAATTTTTCGAATATATTTTTTTCCATCAAAATCAAAATTTACACTAACAACTTAATAAGAATATTATTGCATTATTAAAGTTTTAGTTTGCTAGCGGAGAACTTTTTAAATAACCAATCAGAAACATTGAAAATTGTTTAATGCTTTTTATAAATTGACAGACAACTGCGATGTCGCCATACTTTGGTGAAATAAAGTTATGAACGCTCTTAAAACATTATAAACTTTTTACGAGACCAATACTGGAGTAGTTTTCAAAAGGAATTAACAGAATCGGTATCTAAATTGTTAAAAATATATACATAAAATATACAGACGAAATTGCAAAGAAAAAAAAATTTAAATATCAATACATTAGAATCAATGTTTTATATTTTATCTATAATTGTAGATATAAATAATATTATATGTAAATTTATAGATTTGAAATTTTCTCTTTTTGTCACGCCTCTCTATATGTACCTATGTATGTATGTAAATCTATTTTATATAAATAAACTCGCCTTTAAACTCGATTCTAAACTGATTGTATTACAATATTTTAATGATTTTTTTAATACAAATAAAAGCGCAATAGAAGTGTATCAGAAGCTTCCAAAAGTCAAAATAAAATGAGATGAAAACTTAAAATTCACATAATAGATTCTGCATTGCCCTAGCCTTTAAAGGACTCCATAATCGCAAGAATTTATAATCTCGGAAAAATACATTACGAAAAATTGTATGTATTTTTCCGAGACGTCCAAAAGAATGAATAGAATATGAACGAACGAAAATACTTAACTACATTATCAACCGGTAACATAAGCTATGGCCGTGTAGTCCCGGTATAGAATAGGCCATAATTCCTTTCCCGTAGGTGTCGTAGAGGCGACTAGGGGCGGGCAAGGGATAGGCGTTCCTCTTAAACATCTGTTTAAACAGCCTGACTGCGGTTGACAATCCGCCTGCCAAGCGTGGCAATTACTGGCAGATCCCCCAAAGGGGGAGGCTTGTATTCAGCAGTGGACGATTAAAGGCTGATATAATGATGAAAGCTATATGTTACTTTAAAAAAATATATATTAACTAGATAATATTTATTATTATTGATTCTATTTTGTAATTTTATTTAAAAGTTTATCCAAAACGCCATTTTTAACTGCTTCTTGTACTACATCATTGATTTTTGTTTGCAACAAATCTGTTTCATCTAACATTTCGTGTACTGTTGTCTCTGGTAATATATCACCTTCTTCTACCATAACTTCATCTTCAAGAAGAGTGTTTACAACTTTTAATTCCACCATAGCTATTATCAAACCATACTGCATTGCGTCGTTGATTTCCTTTTCGAAATCTTCAATCGGATAAAGCGAATTTACATCTAATTCGTATAGTGTTAAAGTTGATTTTAAAGTATCGTAATATTCACTTTTTAGTTTCACAAAGTGTTCAGATCTGAATCTAGAATTTGTGCAAAGATATAAAAAGTAAATTATATCTGTCACTGGACTGGCATATCTTACTGCTTGAAAATCGATGAAACATACTCGAGTTGATTTGTCTCTCTGAAAATAAATAAGTAACAAATAATTTTATTTATATATACTCTGTTACTAGACTCTGTTAGGATACTTTGTACAAAAGTCGATTGCTTGGGTACCTCTGTCCCATTCGTGTTTCAACCGTGAAGCAGTTGTGTTTGCATGGCTGTGTTTCGACTTGAAGGGTGGGATATGGCGTGAATTTACTGGTTACAGAGGAATAACACCTAAGTCCTCGGGAGTGGCAACGCATTGGGGGTATCATGGGCGTAACAGTATACTCTGTTATGTCCATAGTACTGCTCATGTCTATAGACAACGGTTACCACTTTCCATCAGGTGGACCGTCAGCTTGTTTGCCATTCTAAGTTGTATAAAAAAAAAAAAAAAATACTGATAATCTATTATTTATCATATTATTTTTGCACCATATATGTTATGCTTTATATACAAACCCAAAAACATTTACTCCTTTCGGGTTCTCAAAGTTGACAGAAAGAAATCCCTTTAACCCACTGACCGCGTTTTTTTTTTCGCAAATTTTTCGCACATCGCTTTGACAACAAATAGCAACACGAGTATTTAGCTACTTAGCGAGATTCTGAGAAACAATATCAATCTAGCAAAACAAAGATCACGGGATAACAACGTCAATAAACATAACAAATGCGAGCACGTCGAAATCGCGGGACGCGTAAAATTAAACTAGTGGATACTGCACGCGGAAATCGCGGGATGGCCGGTCAGAGGATTAAAGGATAAGTCCACCTATGTACATTTTTATTATAACCTAATTTCTATAAGTGAATGTACAAAAGTATTTAAATAAATAAATAAATTTAGTGTAAATTACAAAATAATTTCCTCATTTTTAATACTATTATAATATACTGTTCATTTATAAATATGTATCCGTAACCAACAAGCGTGTATGAATAGATTGATGAATATGGAGGAAGCGAAAGAGGCCTGTTTGATTTGAAACGTTTGGCGTTCCATTGTCTCTCCCTACCCCAATGGGGGCCAGGCGTGACAGATATGGTATGTATGCACTATAATGAGCTTCTAACCACGTTTTCGTCCGTATAACTGGGACGTATTAATCGAATACAATAAATAGTAGACTATACCCCTTCTATCAGGTAAATGTATACCAAATTTCATAAACCTTGGTCAAGCTGTTAATGTACCTAGTGATAATAAACAAACATCATCATCACAACATAACAATCATCATCATATCAGCTTTTAACTGTCCACTACTGAACATTAGCCTCCCCCGTGGGGGGTTTAGCCAGTAGTTGCCACGATTGGCAGGCAGATTGGCAATCGCAGTTAGGCTTTAGAGGTGTTTCAAGAGGGACATTGCTGCTCATTCCTCGCCCATTCTTAGTCGGCTCTTACGATACCCACGGGAAAGGAAGGGGTGGCATATTCTATGCCGGGACTATACGGGCAACTCAACTCACATTCACTTGTATTAGTAAGGACTATACCCTGTGTAATTCTTTTTTATGCAACTTAAAATAGCTAACAAGCTGACGGCCCACCTGAAGGAAAGCGGTAATTCTCGCCTATAGACATAATTAATTAATTTCCTTAAAATCATATTTTATTAATAATTAATTACTAATTAATCATTATATGATTTTCATATCTCAATATTTATACGTAGTTTAATTGATAACAGATAACTCATAGACATCTCGAGATAACTAAGCGTGTGGTCCCGGTATAGAATAGGCCACCCCTTTCTTTCCCGTGGGTGTCGTAAGAGGCGACTAAGGGGGGGCTAGGGATGGGCAGCAACGTCTCTCTGAAAAAATCTCTAATCACCAATCTAATTGCCAAGCGTGAAAAATACTGACAAAACCCCCTAAGAGAGCGTTATGTTCAGCAATGGACAGTTAAAGGCTGATATGATGATGATGATGATGAAATTATTATCATTCACTTACCCTGTGTTTAAAAAGCATATTATTGATCCAACAGTCACCGTGGCAAAGTACGTTATATTTGCCAGGTTTCGTATATGCCCTCAAAATATCTAATATTTTCGGTTTTATCACAGATAATTTCTCTTTAGCTTCAACATCATTGACTAGCTTCAATGACGAATCATATGAGTCGAACATGTAATTTACTAATTTAGTTTTACTGAGAAAATTATCATCATACAAGAGATCCTGAAACTGAGATTTCACTTCGACGAATTCTTCTGGATAAAACTTTTCGAATATAAAAGATAGAGCGTGAAAATTTGCTAACGCTGTCATAACAGTATGTACTTTTGTATAATCCAATTCTTCATGTAACGACTGTCTAACATCAGGTGACCATCCATCTTCTATCAAATCTTCCAATATGATCACTTCTTTTTTTGTCTCTGCACACGACAACAAACATTCAGGCAAAACTATTTTATTGCCTAATTTATTATTTTTATTGTCATGTATTTTATTAAACACTGGCACAATATGTTTATAAACTGCCACTTCTCGTTCGTGTAATTTATGAAATAAAATTTGTCTTTCCGTATTAACCAATGTTTTAACTATAACATTAACAACGTTTCCTTCATTTCCAACATCTGTAATAGTAACTCTGAAAGTATTCGCCACATAACTTTCTCCTTTCCCGCTGATCAAGTCAACGTGATATCTAAAATCATCAATGGATTTTAATTTTGCTACATCGTTTAAGACACCGTGAAGTTCTATGCAGTTGAATTCGTCTGGTTCACTTATATTGACATCTAGAGACATTTTTTGCTTGGCCACAATATTTAACGCACTTGCTACCAATGTAAAGACGTATGAAGTAGTGTTTTTAAAGTACTTGATCGATTGAGATAAGGTTTTGCGATAAAGATTGATATTGCTACTCTTTATCTTTTTTTATACAAATATTACATGATAAAGTAACATATAGATCCAAATTAAAAAAAAAAATACTAACTGTTAACCGTGGTTTTGCTGCGTAAATTCATATGAAAGTATATATGTTAAACTGAGGATATTTGCATAGATATACACTATCTAATAGCTAGATGAATCGTTGAGTTTAAAAAAAGTAGTCTCGGAAACGATCGGTATGGAATTTTTTTTTAACAAATTAAAATTCGTTTTCTTGGCTAGTTTTTATTGAAATATTGCTAGTAAGTAAATGAATGAAGAATAGATGAGTATACTTTATTTGCAATATACAATATAGGGAATAAGCAATACAATTAATAAATGTAACGATACAGTTGTATAAGTACAGTCATTCATTTTCATTTAAGAGTTTCCTCTTGTCGGTACAACTAATTCATGCATCTTCCTCCAGCCAGCTCTATCCCAGGCCATATCCTTTATCTCTCTATACGACATGACGCCTAGTGTTTCCTTTATCTGTCCCATGTAGTTAATCCTCGGTCTTCCTTTTCCTCTTTTGCCCTCTATCTTTCCTTCTATTATGCTCTTAAAAAAATCGTCATGTCGTATAAGGTGGCCCAGCATTTTGCCTCTTCTATTCTTTATTATTTTAATCAATGTTCTCTTCTCGTTTACTTTTTTTAGGACTTCCTCGTTCGTTAGTTTTTCTGTCCAGTTAAGTACAGTATGGCGGTCTTATTGCTGAGAGCAATCTGTTCAAGACTGTTGTAAATTCCTAAGATAAGATAAATTATTTTTAAATATGATTTGAAAACTTTCTTTTACAAATATACATATTAATATTATGGATGTTTACTGGATACAGAGGAATAACACCTGAGTACTCAGGAATGGCAACGCATGGGGGGTATCATGGGCAAAACAGTATACTCTGTTATGTGCATGGTACTGCTCATGTGTATAGGCGATGGTTACCACTTTCTATCAGATGGGCCGTCAGCTTGTTTGTCATTATAAGTTGTATAAAAAAAAAAAAAAAAACAATCTGTCATCGAATGCATGTTTCAATTTACTTTTAGACATCGAGAAAGTTACCAACCAACATCTTTAGTGCTGGAAGTAATTAAAATTAATATTCCTCGTTTTTTTCTTATAACATTGAGGTGACAAACAAGCGTGCGGCCCACCTGATGGTAAGCGGTTACCGTAGCCTATGAACGTCTGCAATACCAGAGGTATTACGCGCGCGTTGCCGATTAGATGGATTATTTTTAACATGAATTAATAATTATTTTCTTTTAAATAATATTTATAACTATCGTAGACAATTTAAATATACATACATGACGTATTAAATGAAGTGAAGTCCTTTAAGAATTCTGATAACGAATGCATTTGAGTCTACTTTTAGATATCGATCTAGGTAATCGATAAAGGCATGAATGATAATGAGTCATGATGATCGATCTATACCCAATATAGAAGTGGGAATATTGTGTTTATATTGATTGTCCATTTTAAACTTATAATTAAAAATTTCTCCCATTGGCATTTTTTTTTATTATTATTATTTCAGCGGTTAACTGTCCACTGATAAGTCTTCCCCATAAGGGGAGTTTTCCCAGTAGTTGCTACGCTTGGCAAGCAGGTTGGCAACCGCAGTTAAGCTTTTAGAGATGATTTAAAAGGAGCGCTGCTGCTCATCCCCCGATCATAAGTTTTTTTTTTTTATACAACTTAGAATGGCAAACAAGCTGACGGCCCATCTGATGGAAAGTGGTAATCGTCGCCTATAGATATGAGCAGTACCATGGACATAACAGAGTATACAGTTTCGCCCATGATACCCCCCATGCGTTGCCATTCCTGAGGACTCAGGTGTTATTTCTCCGTACTCAGTAAATTCACGCCATATCCCACGCCATATCAAACCGAAACACAGCCATGCGAACGCAACTCACGGTAGAAACACGAATGGTACAGAGGTATCCAAGCAATCGACTTTTGTACAAAGTCTCCCTCTGGTAAAAAGTTCCCTTAGTCGTGTCTTACGACACCTACGGGAAAGGAAGTGGTGGGCTGTTCTATGCCGAACACACACAGTGACTGAGTAATATCTAAATATTCTGAGTATACTCTACTCATACGCTGAATAATCGTGTCATGTAAGACAGAGGGAGACATTGTACAAAAGTAGATTGCTTGGGCACCTCTGTCCCATTCGTGTTTCTACCGTGAAGCAGTTGTGTTTGCAAGGAATAACATCTGAGTCCTCAGGAATGGCAACGCATGGGGGGTATCATGGGCAAAACAGTATATTATGTTATGTCCATGGTACTGCTCATGTCTATAGGCGACGGTTACCACTTTCCATCAGGTGGGCCGTCAGCTTGTTTGTCATTCTAAGTTGAAAAAAAAAGACAATTTCAATAGTCCAAGAATAAAAATATCGGATTGTTCTTCGCTACGCGTTTTCAATGAGATGCCCTATCTAGATATTTTTAGTCTAGCAAATCGTTTAAATACCGTTTATTGTTTAATTGTATTTGCGAACAAACATTCAAATATTTGGATAGTGGGAAATTTGTTTGACAATTAATTAATCACTAGATGGTTGACTTAATTTAACAAACTTTCACATTTATTATAAATTATTTATAAAAACACCTCAGTAACCTATTTGAGCTATTGAATGGTTTTGTTTCTTTCTTTTATGCTAAATTCTCAATTTGAAAGAAAGCGACAAAACACTGTAATAGTTAAAATAGGTTTGTTGTAGGTTTTAGTTTTTATAAGAGGGTTTTTACCTTTCGTCTGAGTGACCTAAGTAGAAAGATAGATAGATACTCTTTATTGTTTCCTCCAAAAGATTACAATAGTAAACTTATTATAGATACAAAGAATTACAAGAAATGATCACAGTGAGAAAACAATGGGCGACCTTATCGCTGAAAGCGATCTCTTCCAGGCCACCTTTGGATAGAGAGGAGTAATTATAAACAGTTTGAAACAGAGGACACGATGGAAATTCTGTTATTTTTTAACTTTTTTTGAGTACACTGATCAATCAGGATTAAAAAACTTATTCTTCTCCATATCAAATGTTATTATTATTTATTATTCACGTGAAACATGAGATATGATACATATGTACATATGTATCTGTCACGCCTGTCTCCCATTAGGGTAGGCAGAAACAATGGAACGCCAAATGCTTCGATTCAAACAAACATCTTTTGCTTCCTCCACATTCATCAATCTTTTCATACACGCTCGCCGGTTACGGGTACTTTTAATTTGGTCCTTCTTCAGCACTTCGCCTATATTGTCGACATACGTCCATCTAGGGCGCCCCCTACCGATATCTCTATTCATTCTTGCTCGATAAATCTCTTTAGATACATGGTGTTATGTATGAAAAGCATAAGTACATGTTTCCCCGTACATATGTAGTAAATGTTATGTTTTTAACACAAATTTTATTTACATTATTTTGTTATGTTATTTCTGTATATCAGTGTTAATTTAATTATTTTATTCGCTCCATCATATTAATTAATATTTTAATTAATTTATTTTATTTTAACTTTAAATTTTAATTAATTAGTTTTATAAAATATAAATATTCGCATACCTACATCGCTTAAGGCAATTAATTAAATAGATGTCAAACTTAATACTACGTGGTATTTGTTAAACATTTTAACTGTTTAATACAAATAAACTTATTTCATTAATAATAAAATATAATAAAAATATTTTTTATTTAAATAAACTTAATAATAAACATTTGTAAATAGTTATTTTTTATAAATCTACCGCCCAGTTTGGAATGCAATTTCAACTGAGAAAAACAGACAAGAAACACATTTTTTTTTTTTTTTAATTAAGAGTTAAATTTCATTTCAACAATAGCAATACATACAATATTCAATACATCAATCGATCGATTATATCAAATTTACTATTTTATTTTGACATCCATATATTGTTTTAAATTGGTTACATTATAGTGGGTATTGTTACCAGAAGGAGACTTTGTACAAAAGTCGATTGCTTGTGTACCTCTGTCCCATTCGTGTTTCAACCGTGAAGCAGCTGTGTTTGCATGGATGGCTGTGTTTCGGTTTGAAGGGTGGGATATGGCGTGAATTTACTGGGTACAGAGGAATAACATCTGAGTCCTCAGGAATGGCAACGCATGGGGGGTATCATGGGTGAAACAGTATACTCTGTTTTGTCCAGGTACTGCTCATGTCTATAGGCGACGGTTACCACTTTCCATCAGGTGGGTCGTCAGATTGTTTGTCATTCTAAGTTGTATAAAAAAAATGCGAAAAAATTCATTTTAAGTATTAAATATTTAAATATAGGTACGTCAAGATAGGTACATTGTGTGCGTAAATATATAGGACGCTGACAAAAAAAGCGAGTCAGGTAATTTGACTTTGTTATAAAAAAAATACTTTATTAATATCACAATATTATATTGAAAGAAAAAAAGCTTTAATACTAAGTGTAAACCAAATTTCGTGACCATTTAGTTGAATCACGAGGCAACAAACAGACTTACACTCACATTTATAATATAAATAAGGATTTAGTGGAATTTTTATACCCAATAATACAATAATGTTAATCTGTCAGTCAACTCTTTTTTGTGTTTCAATTCAAATGTTATTTTTTGTTTGTCTAAAGCTTTGAAATACGTCAATCGTGTTTCATGCAAATAAAAATACGATATAGAATCCAATGAAAGCATTCAAATATTTGGGACCCATTATGTTTTATTTGCTTTTTTAATATTGTATCCGATTTAAACGTGATTTGTGTAGTGGTAGAAAATATTAGCAGCAACTATTTTTTTTTTAAATAATTTAAAAAGGAAATAATTACTCTGTTTGAGTCATAGATTGCTATTTTTTGTTTTTTCATGGGTGAAAATGGTATGGTAACCCCGCCTGCGCTAACGGTATACGCTGGTGGAGCACCAGTGAAGGGTGATAGATGAGAATGAAAACAGGCCAGTTAGCCCATCATGATGAATTCATCAGGAATTAACCATGATAGTTTCCAGGGGGAACCGCGAGGAGGTCGACCTGGTTGGGTATATTGCTAGCAATGGGATTCTCAGCCTCCATTACTAACAATTCCTTCCCCCCCCCCTATATAGATTGCTATTTGCTGTTCTATTACAGTTAATTGTTTTTATATAGTAATATTTTATATATTTATTTATTTAATACATTATGTGTATGTTTATATTAGTCTAAATATATGTTCATAATATATGAATATGTCAGGTATTGCTTTATTTTTCCTCTATTCAATAATGCACCGCCTACTTATTTCTCTGTTTGCCCAATGGTTATCTGGTAGAGAACACCGTCCGGTGTTAAGTCCGCCAAATGTACCTACCTACATAGAATTTTACTGTGCGTTAAAATTTAAATAAATAAATAAATATAGGAAAATAATAAATTGTAGAGAAATCTACACAGCATTAAGTTCTTCGCCTTTTGTATCAAACATTTTTTTGTAATGGAATTAATGGAATGAAATAAATAAATTAATAATTATATAATTATGAATGAAATAAAATATTAATCACAGAATACATTGTATATAAAGCTAGTATTATGTATATACATATATGTATTTACCAGAGGGAGACTTTGTACAAAAGTCAATTGCTTGGGTACCTCTGTCCCATTCGTGTTTCTACCGTGTAGCAGTTGTGTTTGCATGGCTGTGTTTCGGTTTGAAAGGTGGGATATGGCGTGAATTTACTGGGTACAGAGGAATAACACCTGAGTCCTCAAGAATGGCAACGAATGGGGGATAACATGGGCGAAACAGTATACTCTGTTATGTCCATGGTACTGCTCATGTCTATAGGCGACGGTTACCACTTTCCATCAGGTGGGCCGTCAACTTGTTTGTAATTCTAAGTTGTATAAAAAAAAGAGTAAACGCGGTAAAAAAAACTAATTTAAAAATAACATCTAGAAATATAATTATTTCCCGCGGTTTTGTTCACGTGAATCTGTACAAATTACATTCTAAGTTTAGATATATAACCTATCTTAGTACTAAATATTCGAATAAATATCTTAGTAAGAAACATCTTTATAAACTTTCACATACAAGCACTAGGTATATAAAAGAAAATCTGATTTTACCTAATATTTCTAACGTTATCTCCAACAGGTCATTGAACTACGGATCATCAAGTAACATCAGGGTGGCGCCAGGATCGCCTGGCAAGTCTTACTCTTGGAAGGAGAAGGGTTACACGAGCTGTAGTGCATCTTGTCTCAGTGGGGTGCAGGTATGTTAGAGTTAAGGGCCCAGACAACTGTCAAAAGATTACCACTAGTCTAAATTCATTTAGACTGCTGTATATCTAATTTATGTTTAATATGTATTTACACATTATTTGTTTAGCTTTTTTCTATACCGCAAACAATACTCTCTGTACGACCCATGACTCACTTGGTAGTAAATGCCTTATGGTGTTATGTCCACTTATATAATTTGCTACATGTATTCATGGAGGTAAATAAATAAATTAAATTACAACTGTACTTACGTTTATAGTCCAACCATGATCATCTTAATCTGTATATATTAATTGTTATATATAATTCTACTATATGTACCTTCCACTATGTATGATCTACTATGTCACATCCGCCATCTTTCACATTTTTACCTGTCTTCTCGGTATCATCAGTCCTAGAAGGAGAGCATCCCATTCTCCATCGTTTTGTACACTTACTTCAAGACCTCTCTTCTCCACTATCGCTGACATGCCACACAAACAAACATAGCCGGCCCACTACCACTTCAGTTTTTTTTTTTTTGATGGGTGAAAATGGTATGATAACCCTGCCTGCGCTAACGAGATACGCTGGCGGAGCACCAGTGAAGGGTGATAGATGAGAATGAAAACACTCCAGTTAGCCCATCATAATGAATTCATCAGGAATTAACAATGATAGTTTCCAGGGAGAACTGCGAGGAGGTCAACCTGGTTGGGTATATTGCTAGCAATGGGACTCTCAGTCTCCATTACCAACAATCCCATTCCCCCCCTACCACTTCAGTTGTCTTTAAAAACTATATACTGTAGTTCTTTGTCGATTCGCCTCATTCCAGATCATATCCCTTAGAGAAATTCCGAACATATCTCTCTCAATCTGTCATTATGAATTTGTTATCTGTTCGCAAATAAAGCATAAATTAGCAAGCTCTCGGTAAAACTCGATCGTAAAACAGAAATTCGAACCATTAATTACATCGGTTCATTGAACGCCTCAAAATGGGTTCAGATCAACGTTTAATCCTAGACAACTGAATATTAAGTGTATTTGTGGTATTATCTCATTTTATTTTTATATATATTCTTTATTGCACTTGTAAGTTACATATAAAATAATGTATTTATAAATATTGTGAGCAAGGGTGGACTTATCTCTGACAGAGATCTCTTCCAGTCAACCCAATACATTGAGAAAGCATTTCGTTAGCGGGCAGCTAAAGTGAAGCTTTTATGTGATTACTAGAAGCCTTTTTTTAATGGGTGAAAATGGCGGAGTGCCAGTGAGAGGTGATAGGTGAGGATGAAAAGGAAGATCAGTTAGCCCATCGTGACGAGTTCAACGATAAATTAGTCACGATAGTTTCCAGAAGGAACCGCGTGGAGGTCGACTTAATAGGGTATATTTATTGCTAGCAAAGGGGCTATTAAACCCTATTAATAACAATCCCTTTCCCCCAGATTACTAGAATTTAGGTATGGGTAATATGGGATACCGATTCGATATCTATATATTGGGTTCTTCTAGACGGATAAAAGGTCATCGCCCCTTTTTATATCATCCATATTGGATATCTATTTTCGAATATGTTAAAAGTTTGTTATCCAATATTATTTTTGGATAACACTCCTTTAACATATTCGTTATGGGCCCAGTATCTATATACTGGGCCCATAACGTCTATTTATATCCCATAATATCTATATATTGTAACTAATATATATATATATATATATTGCTTTATATTACCCATCCCTAGTAAAAGTGTAAATACCTTTAGTAATAACGTGCGATAACAGAGGAAGAATACAAAAGGTCAACCCTTTTTTCACAAACCAGTTCTCAAGGCTGAGTAATGTTCGCCTGAGCTCGCTGATACTTCGACCCTGTTGCAAGTTAGGGTTTCTTGTTTTTAAGATGAAAAAGATTTTTTTTGTTTTAGACATAATTGCCTCATCGTGATAAATTCCCACCTAGAATTAACCACGTTGCTTTCTAGGAGAGACTGCGTGGGCATCGACCTAACAAAGTATACTGCTAGCAATTTCCTTACCCCTACAATCATATTTCAATCGCAAAAATCTAAAAAGTTTACATAATGTATCAACCACACAATATATCATCCATTTCTTTTTATAGTATGTTATAGCGTTTTTTTTTTTTTTGAAGGAACTCATAATCCAGTGTGTTCGCGATGAAGATGGCAAAAACGCATCTCCGTATATGTGTGACCCTCTAACTAAACCTGAGAACCGAGTGAGAACATGCAACGACCACCCCTGTCCACCAAGGTAAGAAATATTCTAAAAACTATTTAGTAGAAGAGCCTAAGTCATACAGCCTGAGGAATTGGAAAGCTGAAACGACAAGGAACTGGCCACATAGCTCAAAGTACCAGCGACTGATCGAAAAGAAATGTTCTCCAGTAACAATTCTTGTCTAGATAATGCAGCAATATTAAATATCTTGCAGGAAGTCTAGGAAAAATGGTGGATTAGACCTGTTCTTATAATAGTCTATGGTTAAAGCCATGATCATCATGTAAATGATTGAAGTGATGATGAAATTATTCATCTGCATATGTCCCTAGATGGAATGACGACCTCAAATACGTTCCAAAAAGTTAGTGGGTGCAGATGGCTCAGGACCGTTCTTTATAGCAATCTATAAGGAAAGCCTATATTCAGCAGGATGGATACTGGCTGAGATGATAATAATAAGTCCCTCTTGAATGATGACTTCATACAGGCAAACGCAGTGTAGGACGACCACCCTCTAGATTTTTTTTACAAAGTGGATTCGAATTTGTTTAAGGTCGTGTTAATATCATTATTATGTTCATAGTGTTTTACTTGTCTATAGATAACGGTTACCACTTTTTTACAAATTGCATGAAAAAGATGATGTTTCACTTATTTGTATACGTATTTAATATACTTTCATTATTACAAAAATACCAGGCCAATCTTGATGAAGTATGGTAGAGAGAGCGTGAAGTTAAAGAATTAAGTCGAGACGTATTGCAGATTGTGGATCTTGTCTCGTCAAGGGATTTCGTTCTTTCGTTATTATTTTTTTTTTTTCGTTTTACAAAAGCTTCTATGTGACAGACTACCTAACGAGTATTATCTGTCCCCAGATGGAATTACACGGAGTTTTCACAGTGCACCAAATCTTGTGGAATTGGAATACAGACGCGGGAAGTTTCTTGTATACACGAGGTAAGAACGAATTGTTTTTATGCGACATCTAAAAGGAGAAGGGTCCATGATTTTATTTTTTTTATTTTGAGGCAATACGGCAGTAACTCGATTGATTGTTTATAATTCTCCATACAGTATGGAATTATAATTTATTTTGTCGTATCTATACCGACATCGAGTATTTCCAAACCTTCTAAAATCTAGCTGAAAGATAATAGCATTAATCCCGCCTTTTGCAACACATTTTACTGGTCGATGTAATTTAATTTAAATAAATTTATTATAAAAACAAATTATCACGTTTGATCAAAATTTACGACACAATCGTCGAACACATAAGAATCATAAAACAGACTAGATTTTTGACCGCTACTTTGTACGCGCAGATATTAGAAGTAGGAAAAAAAATTAAATGGATCACTTTTAGACAGCGTACCAAAATAAAACCTATACCAGTTGCTTAAGTTACACCTCTAGGAACACAACATTGGAAATTTAATTTAATTTAATGTAGTAATTTTTGCGTTATACTGAAACAAACATACAGACAGACAACATGTCTAAAAATTATTTTTTTTGGCTTCAATTACTCCTGTAGAATTCTCATACATACTTTTTTAACTACAGTTTTATTATATTAGTAAGATTTTGCTAAACCACACACACGCACACGCACACACACGCACACATACTCTGTATTTTGTAATTAACTTTGCCTAAGTTATATACTAGAAATAAGTTTTAATGTTAAGTTTATTCTTGGACTTTATATCTCATTATTGTTATCTGTGTATTATAACACTAATTGGTTGCCTTGTATTTGGGTAGTCCATGGAGATGGGGCACTGGTGACTTGTAACACAGGCTCTTCTAAACCTACCGCAAGCACCAGTCACTCACAAAATTGGTCTTCATATCAAATTGTACCTCAAGTTGTCACTTTATTCTACCTTTTGCGAAGAGAAAATAAACCATTCATTCATTCATTCTATAAATAAATAAATAAAGTTACGATGCAAATTTTTGCCAATGCCAAAAATTTATGTGACAATTTTAAATTCCCATCCAACTCCCCTGTAATAAACATCATTGACAAATCTAAATAATTCAAGACACTTCGATGGATTCGCCCTCTAGCGTGATTTGAATATTATTGGAATTGCTATAAACTTCGAATAGTAGGTTGGGTTTAATCCAAGTTTATGCGAATTGCGGCCAAGTGGAATATTACTTGAATCTACTCCACTAATATACAGACAGACTGTTATAGCTTAACACTCAGACAAAAGACACTTCTATCGTTATTATTTAGTATTTTTCCAACATATTAGATATTATTTGCTGATCCCTTCGAAGGATTATAGTAATCTTGAAGTTAGAAAAAGATAAGAAAATATGTATATTTTTTTTATACAACTTAGAATGGTAAACAAACTGACGACCCACCTGATGGAAAGTGGAAACCGTCGCCTATAGATATGAGCAGTACTATGGACATAACAGAGTATACTGTTTCGCCCATGATACCCCCCATGCGTTGCCATTCCTGAGGACTCAGATGTTATTCCTCTGTACCCTGTAAATTCACGCCATATCTCACCCTTCAAACCGAAACACAGCCATGCAAACACAACTGCTTTACGATAGAAACACGAATGGGACACAGGTACCCAAGCGATCGATTTTTGTACAAAGTCTCCCTCTTTGTCAATATCTCTTCAGAATCAGCAGTATCAATGTTTATTTTACCTGCTTTTAAATTTTATTCGCTAATTTTGAATCCCAAAAGAAAATACCAGAGGGTTTCTACCGTGAAGCAGTTGTGTTTGCATGGCTGTATTTCATTTTGAAGGGTAGGATATGGCAGTGAATTTACAGGGTACAGAGGAATAACACCTGAGTCCTCAGGAATAGCAACGCATGGGGGGTATCATGGGCGAAACATTATACTCTGTTATGTCCATGATACTGCTCGTGTCTATAGGCGACGGTTACCACTTTCCATCAGGTGGGCCGTCAGCTTGATTGCCATTCTAAGCTTATTAACATATAACGTAGATTCTATCTAATTTATATATTAATCAACGAACTTCAGTGGGCATTCATTGTTATAGTTTCTATCACATACACCTACTCTAACTTGCCTTACTTGCTTTAGACTTATAATTTTCGTTTATATAATTAAAATCCGTTTTTGGCTGTATTTATAAGAGACTTAGCATGTAAGTTATTATTTAAGGGCTGTCGATTTATGTATTAAAAAAAATAAATAAGTAAAAAAATATCTTTATTGACTAGTTCTTCATAACAAAGGGTAATCTACCTTGAAGAGCAGACGATTGAAGTAACTGTGTACTCACAGGACTTAATTATTATATTTTTGCATTGGCAATAAACACATTTATTATTAATAATAATAATGTGTGTGTGTGTGTGTGTGTGTGTGTGTGTGTGTGTGTGTGTGTGTGTGTGTATGTGGATGTGTATATATATGTATAATATTGTGTATAAAGTAAAAATTTGCAATTGCTAATATGTATATACTACGCACCATAAGATTCCCCTTGTACTTCGTACCATTTTAATAGGGAACTCTAAAAGATTTAATATCAGAAAGATTTTCTCAAAATATTAAATAACAATAGAGATGTCTTCAAAGAACAAAACCATACAAAAATATTATTTTTTTACAAAAACACACTCTCATAGGAGGCTTGCCTTGCCATTTTTCCTCAAAGTCTTGATAAGGCCTCATTATTTTTCTTCAATTACTCTTGAAATATAAATTTTATTTCACTCAAACAAGCACCCAATTTATGAGCAACGTTATTTAGCAAGACTACACTTCGCATAATTTATCCGCAGTCGACGTTCAAAAATGTATAAAAATATATTAATTTTAAAACTACTCTTTACAGGTTAATATTTATAATAATAAAGAAAATGTAAAGAGAATATTTAAAATGCTATTAAATTAAAAAAGTATATTAAGGTTTCATACTCAAGAAGCTTAGTAAGTATTTCATAGGAAATATAACAGCTGTACGTACTTCAGAATTCGTATAAAATTATAGAATCGAAACCTATATTTTTTTCATTAATTTAAGTTTCATTACACTTTATTAAAAAAACTTTGACTACCATATTCATCCATTTTTAACCGACAGCAAAAGGAAAGATGTTCCGAATTGGATTGTATTTTTTTACGTTCGTTACCCCACAATTCCGTCAGTTTTTTTTTTTTTTTTAATGGGTGATAATAGAGTGTTGACCCCGCCTGCGTTAACGGTATACGCTGACGGGGCACCAGTAAAGATGACAGGTGAAGACGAAAAGGCAGATCAGTTAGCCCATCATGACAAATTCCACTAGAAATATCCATGACGATTTCCAGGGGGAACCGCATGAAGGTCGACCTGATAGGGTATATTGCTGGCAATGGGTCAATTAAACCCCTATCATTAACAATCCCTTTCCTCTCAACTCCGTCAGTTGTGAACCAATACGGAAAATTCTTTTTCTATCTAAAAAGTTTACAGATTATCTCATAAAAAATTATCAAAATCGGTTTAGTGATTTAGTTCTGAAATAAAAATAACTGATTTTGTCGGAATTAAAGCTGTTTTTTTTTATGGGTCACAATATTTAATTATTCATTCCATTCCGTAATCATACACGCGCACGTTCTGGAGAATCTTGACTCCTCCTCAAAAGACACAAAATTCTGTATTATTATTCCTTCTTTCACCAGGTGACTAGAGGTGGCACCAACACAGTAGTGGTACCAAACAGTATGTGCCCCCAACCACCGCCCCCCGACCGACAGTACTGCAATGTGCTGGACTGCCCAGTACGGTGGCATACGGAGGAATGGTCCAAATGCTCAAAAACATGTGGTGGAGGAGTGAAACAAAGAAATGTAAGTATTTTTTTTTTAATTGATGATAATTGGAATGGTAGCCCCGCCTGCGCTATCGGTATACACTGACGGGGCACCAGTGAGGGATGATAGGTGAGAATAAAAGCAGGTCTGTACCCATCGTGACAAATGCAACAAGTATTAGTCACAATGGTTTCCAGGGGAACCGCGTGAATACACTGACAATAGGGCCATCAGGCATTCCTTTCCCCCAAATATAAGTATTGACTTGCTGAATACTATCGTGTAGTCCCGACATAGAATGAATCACTCGTTCCTATCCTGTATGTATCCTAAGAAGAGACTAAGGGCACTTAATGATCAGGGATCAACATGGAACGTTATCAACATGGATCAGGATGGAACGTTACTTACTGTTTCTCTTCAAGCATTACAAAAGCCAAATAGCGATTGCCAACCCGCCTGCCAAGCGTAGTAACTATTAACAAAACTCCCAATCTTTGGGAGAGTTCTATGTTCAGCAATTAACGGTTAAAGACTAATTATATTGTTATACTAATATACTATTTAAATAATAATAATAAATAATAACTTGGGATCGCAAATCTGATGACCTACCTGACAGCTCTATAGACGATGTCTGTTCTGACAAGGCGTAACTGCTGAGCAAGTGATTGTTTATATTTTATCTCATCTTTCATTTAAATCAAATTTCATTCAAAAGTTTCATATCTACAGAAATCGATGGCAGGATCTTAAGCTGTTACCACTACACAAGTCTTTCTATAATTAATCTTCACTTAACAGGTACAATGTAAGCAGATTATGGCACAGTCCCACGTGGTGGAACGGCCGCCAGCCTCGTGTGGATCCCCTCGGCCGGCTTCCACCAAATCCTGCAATTCGAAACCTTGTTTACTGGATACATCTTCACCCGAAATCTCATTAGCTAACTCTTCGTACATACAGCATGATCCGAAGAAGAAAAAGGTTAGTATATTTATAAAATGAGATAGATGTACCCATACAGGTAACTTTATACGACCCTGATAGAAGAAATTTGCTATTTTGTAAAAGAAAAATTTCTTAATTCGTCTCCTGTGAGCTCTAAGGTTGTCAAACTAGCTTCCTACCAAGGTTTTCTCAAAATATTTATATATTTATGCAACTTAGAATGGCAAATAAGCTGACGGCCCACCCATGGAAAGTGGTAACCGTCGCCTATAGACATGAGCAGTACCATGTACATACAACAGAATATACTGTTTCGCTCATGATACCCCCCATGCATTGCCATTCCTAAGGACTAAGGTGTTATTCCTCTGTACCTTGTACACTGTCATACTCTTCAAACTGAAATACAGCCATGAAAACACAACTGTTTCAAAGTTGAAAACCGAATTGGGGCAGAGGTACCCAAGCAAACGACTTTCGTACAAAGTCTCCCTCGGGCAGTTGTATTTAATAACATTCGCCAATGATTTAAAATGTTAAAGAATTTGGCAATCACCTATAAACATGAACACCATAAATATCATTATAATACACTATGTACGAACATGCTACTTGTAATGTGAGCACAAAGGTTTTTCTTTTATGGATGGTAAAGGAAGGTAATGGAATGGTAATGGCCTGTGCCATCGACATACGCTGGCGGGACACCAGTGAGGGATGATAGGTGAGAATAAAAGTAGGCCAGTTAGTCCGTCGAGATGAATTTCGCAAGAATTAACCAAGATAGTTTCCAGATCCGCGTTGATCCGATAGAGTATCATGCTAGCAATGAGGCTACTAGAGCCTTTTTACTAACAATCTCTTCCTCCCCAGACACTAAGGTTTTGTAACTACATTATAAGTTCACAGTCATATTCAATTCTTTGCCGTGTCATGCCACCCCTTCTTTTCCCGTGAGTATCATAAGAGGCAACTAAGATAACTTAATAATCAAGGGATAGTCACCAGTGTTCCATTTAAAACATCCTGTGAACATACCTGCCAAGCGTGGCAACTACAGGCAACCCCCCTCCCCACCCCAGAGGGATCTGTTAAGCAGTGCACAATTAACGACCGATATAATGATGATGATCCAATTCTTTACAGTGAAACACAGCTTTATGGTACGAGACACATTAACGAGATAGTGAGACCAATACCAAACCATTCTTATACAAAATCTCTCTTTGATTTAATTCCATTTAATTACGATAAAGATCTCTTTAAACCTCAAAAGATAAATTATTACATATTAAATTGATGCATTCCTTTGAATCCAATAAACCACTGATAGTCACCAGTTCTGAAAACTCTTTACAAATATAACTGCAGAGTTCTTGTCTCATTTAATTTCTAGGAACAGAGAACGTAATACGAAGACAGACTCCAACTGTGAAATGTCCTAATTACTCTTCGCTTTAAAGATAAATCTTACATTTGTAACGTAACCTTATTTCAGAATTACTCGGTGAAATCAGAAAATTTCTAATTAATTAAGAGGACTACGCCAGGGAGGATTTCTTGGTATCTCCGTCTAATATTTTTAAGCTGCAAATAAAATGACCCGTGGAATCCTGGGGCATTTATTTGATTTGGAAAAAAACAAATATTTTATTTGGAAAGTCCTCGAGCTCTTAGTAATATGATCTTGCATTTTTTTAATACTTCCATTCCAATGTTTCTTTTGTCAGTTGATTTCATTGCTATTGTGTGCAAAAAATTTTGCTTGACTAAAATTAATTTCCCTTTGCAACCGACTTTAAAAAGATGGAAGCTCCCAAATTGGTTGTATTTTTTTTTTTATATTTGTTACTTGAACGAAATAACAAACATAAAAAATACAACTGAATTCAAATCCTCTATCTTTTTGATGTCAGTCGAAAAGTATACCAACCCCTTCAACAGTCTAGTATTTTGTGAATATATAATAACTTCAACTTGTTAAAATTAAATTTTAAAATTCAGGTCACGGTCAAAGTTGGCGGGTCGGCAACGATATTTTATGGAACCCAAGTGAAAATCAAGTGTCCTGTGAAAGGATATAACAGAACCAAGATACAGTGGGCTAAAGATCACCAGATTATAACGAAGTCGAAGAAGTACAAGATTTCTAAAAAGGTAAGACTTTTTTTTCTATAGACAAAGAGCATTAGGCTTAGTTTATTTATTTATTTCTTATTGCATTCCATAATGTGGTCGGTAGATAACATTTCAACTCCAATTTCAATTATGGACCCTGTTGGGTACAACAAGTAAGAGAGAGAAGTTAGTTTGCTAAGATAGTCAGTAGTGCTTTTCCTAAAATTTATTAAAAATCTGACTGGGAGTTAAACCGAGCTCTTTAATTACAATTGAGACTTAATTAAGTACACATGGTGAAACGTGTTCATCTCCCAGCCACAAGAGATTTTAGAGTATATATGGATTTGGGCTTAGTGATTTACTAAAACTGTTAGGTTAGAAATACGTTTCTTAAATTGATCTCACTAAGAATCGAACCGTGACCTTTAATTATAATTGAGACTTAATTAAATACACATGATGAAACGTGTTCATCACTGAGCCACGAGGGATTTTAGAGTACCTATATATAGATTTGGGCTTAGTGGTTTACTAAAACTGTTAGGTTAGAAATACGTTCTTAAATTGGTCTGTCGAAGAATCGAACCGTGATGTTAAATTACAATTGTGATCACCTCTGAGCAACTAGAGATTTTCGGCATATGTGGGTTAATGTGTTATAAATTAGACCATTTATATATAATTTTAATTCACAATTTTGCGGTAGCAGTACAAGTATTCTGACTTATAAAGATGATCCTAAATGGTTTTCCTTGCCTCTTTTCGGTTAGAAAACCATAAAATATCATAATCATAAAATTCTAGATTCATTATAAATGCTTTAAAGAACTTTTACTGCATCTAATCTCTCAAAAGTATTAAGATCTTCAAAAGGAGAGTCTGTAATATTAGAATTTTAGTACTTTCACTACTTACTAAAGACTTAAGTGGAAAGAGGTAGGTGCACAACTTGCGCAGCTAGTAACAGCGAGGTACTTTAGCAGTATTTCCTGGCACACGTTTTATTAATCTTCTCAAGCTTTACTTGTAAATGAAAACTTGGTTGCAATCTCTCTCGTATAGACTTTCGCTCAACATAGTTTTTTGGATAGATGAATTTTTATACGTATATTATATAGAAACATTTATTACGAACGAACAAAAAAGATGAATAATCCTACACTATTAATATCATAATTATTTTAGCCGTTGATTGTTCACCTTCTTATGGTTATACAAACTATATTTTGCAAGAAGTATCAAGATTCTCCGAAACTGGCGTGCATGCACTAGGAAATTTATCAAAATGCAGGAATCGACCAGAGGCCTTTAGCGTTCAAGTATCACTGTCTACTCTGCAAGAGACTTGATGTAGGGCTTTTCTAACCTGCTCTCTTTTATATACCTTCTCTTTCCAACACAGGGCGCTCTCCGTATTACATCCCTCTCACTCCGAGACCACGGCGTCTACACCTGCGTTGCTGGCAGGTCCAGTGCTAACCTCACACTTCTCGTGAAGCCGCGACCCGGCGAGTTCATATCAAGTGAGGAAATTGAGAGACACAAGGCATTGGACGAGCCATCTTCCCCGCTTGCGGACAGGTTTGTCAAAATGTCTAATTTATAACAAAATTTCCTTCTGATGACAAATCAATCAATCAATTGCTGGATACCTCCATACCACATGGGTTTCTTCTGTGAAGCAACTAAACTTACCGAACAGAAGTACAGCCATGTAATTCGGTTTGAAATATGAGATACGGCAGTGAAATTACAGGGTACGGAGACAATATCCTAGTCCTTAGGATTGACGACGTGTGAGAAATAATATAAAAGTGTATTCTGTAAAATTCAGGGTGCTGCTCATAACTATAGGCAACGAATGTTTAAAGGGGAACAATGGAATGTTAACCGCTTCCTACACTGTCTGTATACCCTAGAAGAGCAGCAGTAACGGGTAATAAGTGAGGATGAAAGCAAGTTAGCCCATCGTGACAAATTTCACAAGAATTAGCTAAAACAGTTTCCAGGAGAAACCGCTTGGAATTTCACCTTATGGAGTATAATGCTCCCATCCCAGATTCCTATTACTCAAAATCCTTGTCCCCCTGTAAGTGACAAATACCATATTTCATCAGATGGATCTTTTTTTTTATACAACTTAGAATGGCAAACAAGCTGACGGCCCACCTGATGGAAAGTGGTAAGTTTTATGGACTTGAAATATACTGTTTCGCCCATGATATCCCCCATGCGTTGCCATTCTTGAAGACTCAGGTGTTATTCCTCTGTACCCAGTAAATTCACGCCATATCCCACCCTTCAAACCAAAACACAGCCATGCAAACACAACTGCTTCACGGTTGAAACACGAATGGGACAGAGGTACCCAAGCTATTGACTTTTGTACAAAGTCTCCCTCTGGTAAATGGATCTTTGATTTATTTGCAATTTTATGATTTTATTTATGCAACTTAGAATGGCAAATAAGCTTAAAATTGCATAAAAATTATATTTTTATTATTTAATGGATCCTTTTATACTTGAAATAGCATACCAGCCAGCTACCTGATAGATAATAATCTACGACTTACCTAGTGTTTTTTCAAGACATTTAATCGAATATTAAAAAAATTGAATAAAAATAAATATAAAAGAGGTCTATAAAATATGGTTTTACAAATTGACAGTATATACGTCAGTATCACCTAACGCTATCACGGCCTAACTCATGTAGGGGTATTACGCCTCCACTCTCAAGGCACAACTTATATATTCCACCTACTCACTGTTATATGTCATACTAATTATGCCAGTCTCCAAAGGATTATTTACACAACTGCCCAAAAAAGGAGTATAATGTTTTTATGGTTCATATATGAATCTTTATTCCATCATAACAACTAACCGTACTAATTAAAAAAATATATAAAGTTTTGCCCTTCAAATTGAGATATTAGCGCAAAAGAAGAAGACAAAAAGTATTTAATAGTTAAAATAGGTTTAGAAAAAGATTCACGTTATAAATAAGAAGGCATATGTCGTCACCTCTATGGCAAATTTACGAATCTGCAGTATTTTCAAATTTGACATTTCTTTAAAAATCTACATTTTGCGTCATACTACTTATTGTGACTTAGTTTCAAATTTCTATCTCTAACGGTTAAAGAAATCGAGTAGCCCGAATCTCCATATTTTTGTGATATACCCAAAGTAAACTTACTTAGCATATTTTTATAGTATTTTTCTATAATAAACACTTTAATTTGAAAATTTCAATAATTATTTTATCAATTTTTCAATCCTGATTTAGTTATTTTATATTAATGATTATTTCAAAACGTTCCCCTGTAAAATGTATCTTTTTCAATTTCGTAAGTTTACCATAGAGGTGACGATATCTAAAGAAATTTCAATGTATGAGTTTTTATTAGAATCTTTCCATCACCACGAGTACTATTCATTTGAACAGTACTTGTGGTAAAAAAAATATTTATATATATATAAAAAAAATATTTATTTTTTATACAACTTAGAATGGCAAACAAACTGACGGCCCACCTTATAGAAAGTGGTAACCGTCGCCTATAGACATGAGCAGTACCATGGACATAACAGAGTATACTGTTTCACCCATGATACCCCCATGCGTTGCCATTCCTAAGGACTCAGGTATTATTCCTCTGTACCCTGTAAATTCACGCCATATCCCACCCTTCAAATCGAAACACAGCCATGCAAATACAACTGCTTCACGGTTGAAACACGAATGGGACAGAGGTACCCAAGCAATCGACTTTTGTATAAAGTTTTCCTCTAGTAAACAAAATAAAGGTATACTATTTTTAGGTGCCCCGCTAGTGTTTACAAATAGAACAAATGGGCGACCATTTTCACGTCTTAACAAAAATAACAACGTTCATTGTTTGTTTACAGCAGAGCAGACGGCCGGTACCGGGCCATCATTGGCGGCACATCGGACGACCAATCCCACGAACAACGGCCGGGGGACCAGAGGAAGAATTATAAAAACAGACAGAGAGGTAAATGATTAAAATAATCCTAGTACAAATATGGACAAATAAGGAGACATGAGAGGTATAGCATAAGTGGGAGATCGTTCGCGGTCGTCGCTGAAAAACCACTAGTTTCATTGTTTCATTACTTATTCGGTTGGGCGGAAGCGGTGCGCGGTGGATTATATCGGCGAGCGCACGGTGTTTCGTTCCAAGCGTGCAGAGGCGTGACGAGAGAGAGGTGGCGACGTGGCGGCAACGCTCGTCGCCGTACAACTCCCGGCTTGATCCGGTTCGAGGACACTGCCAGGCGGGTAGTTTGACTGGGGCGGTACATCTGTCAAAGAATAACGCAGGTGTCCTAAGGCCAGCTCAGCGAGGACAGAAACCTCGCGTGGAGCAAAAGGGCAAAAGCTGGCTTGATCCAGATGTTCAGTACGCATAGGGACTGCGAAAGCACGGCCTATCGATCCTTTAGTATAAAGAGTTTTTAGCAAGAGGTCCCAGAAAGGCTTACATTCAGCAGCGAACAGTTAAAGACTGATATGATGATAATGGTGTAAGAATATTAATTTATTAATTCTTCTGTAATAAAATCCATCTTAATAAATAAAATAAACCAACGATATACACGATTATACAACGATTGTACATATGTATATCCTTAGAAAACATTTTTCTTATTTGTCAGAGAATTAAGGAGGGGAAAATGGCTACGCCATTATAATGTATATTTATACATTTACCCATCTTTTAGCGAAACTCACCAGTGAAAGATGTGGCTAAATGGCTCATCTCCGAGGATTAATTAAGACTAGCTGCGATTCAGTAGTGCTTTGTAAACAGTCTTCTCAATTTACTTTGAAAGCATTTTACTATTTCGAGTCTATTGAGAGGATGGGTTTATTTGTTTATTGCTTTTGTCTATTGGTCTTTTATATTGGCGTAAAATCGCCTTGTGTTGTTACGTACAATTAAGACATATTTATATATGTACATAATTCATTAATATTATTATATACTATCTTTTACTCGCGACTATGTCCGCGTGATTGGATATTGTTTACTAACCGGGATAAAAAGTAACCTATATCTTTCTCCGTCCCATACAGTATGTGTACACCAAATTTCGAAACGATTGGTTGAGTCATTAAGGTGCTATAAGATAACAAACAAACAAACTCACTTTCACATTCTAAAAAAATTAATAAGAATTTATTAATCAAAAAATATCATAATAAAAATCGTAGCTCTTATTTGTTACCTCAACTTGGTGAATTTTATTATCGAGATCCAAAAAAAGGAATTTTCAAGCTGTCTGAATTTTTTTGTACATCGTTAACAGTACAAAATTTCTAAAAATACGAGTAGGTAATAATAAAAATATAAAACCTAAATATGAATTCTATGAAAATTTAATTAAATTAAATGAATGAATAAAAATTTAATGTGTCTGAATACATTTAAATTATTTTCTTAAATGAATTAAACTGAACTTTCTTTAATGAATTGAACTGAATTTTCTTAAATGAATTGAACTAAACTTTCTTAAATTAATTTAACTAAGAAGTAGGGTCGCCCATTGTTGTCTTATTGTGATTATTTCTTGTAATTGTTTATATTTATAATAAGTTTACTATTGTAATATTTTGGGGGAAACAATTAAGAGTATCTATCTATCTATCTAAATGTTCTTAAATTAATTTAATTTAATATAACAGCGTCTATCTGTATAGATCTATTGATACATTTTGTTTGTTTTTACCAGGCAAAATCGACAAAGTCCGCGATGCTCTATTAAGTAACACAGCGACTACCAGCACTAAACCATCTCCCAGCTTCAATTCCCAAGCCAGGGATATTTACGATGAGAACGAGGTAAGAATACACACAATACAGTATCTAAATGCAATAATGTTCAGGTCTACAGTCAAATGAATAAATGTTTTATGATATTGTGAATAAATCGTCCCATTATAACAAGATTTACATAAATTACATAAACATATAAATAAATAGTTTACATAAATTAGTCTTTTATTATTTTAAGTATCTCCTAAAATAATCGATGAAACTACATAATTAATAATTATGAAGATAATATATTAATTAAATAATCGATTTTTAATTTAATTAACTTCTTATACATTCATATTATGTGATATTGTGATAGTGATATTGTGTTATAATGATAATTATATTTGTGTAATGTAACACTCATATAATGTTTTATAAGTAAGTCACTGCCTTAGGTGGCTTAAAAGTTAACAATTCACGTAAATGCTGTTAGTAACTCTTCCATAAAAATCTGTTAATATCTCAACAGTATCTTTACTAGAAAAATATGTTCGGCTACTTTAAAAAGGGCAAACACAAAAGATCATGTAAAGGTCGCAGTATCACACGCTTTTTATGTCTAAAAAAGTGCGTCTTTCAATAATAATAAATATTCTATTTCCTAGTCACTTATTTTTTTATTTATAATGAATAATAACCATAATAATTTCTTACACAAACCATGAAAATGTTTACACAAACTTTTATAACGCAAATATAAACATGAGTATAATATAATTAACTACACTGTCATACTTATGTCAAAAGATTCAATTAACCATTAATATACCAATATAAATTAATTGATTATATAACTCATTATTATCAATTAATAATTCAGTATCAATTTCCGTGTGGAAGCAATAATAAATTAATATGTCAGTTACTTGAGCATTATGTTTAATATTTCAATATAGATTAACTAATTCATTATTACTCGAATCGTTATCGATCTCAGTATCTCGACTCAATATTACCGAGTTCTTATAATCATTGTAGTTGTCTGAGATAATCCTAACTTCAATTGTAAACTGGGCAGTAAAGTTTACTGCCGATTTTATGAGCATAATAAAATTGTTATTACAAAATGTACATTATACTATGTATTATAAGAAACGAGTTATTGATGTATAATGGCGTCTCTCGATGCGATTCCGATCAGAGATTACAATAATGTTTAATCTACTTAGGTATATTAAGAGGCTCTTGTAATTTAATAATTAGATAGCGAATTAGATTTGGGTTATTTAAACTAAGTCGGAGTCTTTAGGAATGGCAACGCATGGGGAGTATCATGGGCGAAACAGTATACCCTGTTATGTCCACGGTACTGCTCATGTCTATAGGCGACGGTTACCACTTTCCATCAGGTGGGCCGTTAGTTTGTTTGCTATTCTAAGTTGAATAAAAAATAAGGATCATACTATATTATGGAAAATATAGAGACAAAAATTTCGTGAAATAGAAATACAAATACAATAAAAAAAAATTTGTATCAATTTAGTAGCTAAACGCACCGTTTTAGTATGAGATACAAATTTTTTTTTTCTGTCTCATTACGTCTAAAATTTCTTTAATTGAAATATTCAGTTTTGTTGGCATAACACTCCCTTTAAAGTTTGTTAACGGTTTCGATAACACCAAATTGTAAATTCAGACTAAACTGGCGGTAATAGTACACATCGTTAACAAATTAAATTAACCGAATGACAACAAAGGACTCGCCCTTTGGCCCGATAGATTTAAAAAGTATAATTTGCCCGGTGAAATAATTAATTAATGAGCATATAGTGTTAAGTTCGTCGTATCGGCACCAGTCAATAACTGACAATATATATATATATATATATATATCCGGGGGGTGATGCTGTTAAATATCGAGTTCACTCGGAGGATGACCTGGAAGGTGTTTTTGGTTTGCCTTCTGTTTGTTCGTCCGTTGAAAAACAATAGAACACGATTATTTGTAGTCACTAATTATTTATATTTATTATCACAAACTGTCCATTGTTATAAGTTTGCTTTTATTTGTATTATAAAATTTGTGTTCATAACGTTTGCCACCGTAACACACTTTTTAAGAGATTATTTTAAATGTCACTTGGTTGTCTTTGTAAATGATTTCGAACAATACACAATCAACATAAACTTTATTAATGATCAGATGTATGAAATGTCTATTTCTGGGGTTACTTGTGTGAGTTTATTATTATTTATTGGTATTTATAATTATATATGGTTAATTATTTTATTATATCACATTCATATTTAGCACTAAGTTTTTTAAATTAGGGCTTTTTAATGCAGGCTCTTTAAGCACCGGACAAGATGACTTTATTGTAGCTATGAGCCGGTATAACGCTGATATTGTTGCAATTAATGAAACATGGTTACGCGAAGGTGAAGAGGCGCGTGCTCCAGTCGTGCCCGGGTATAGACTGCGCTCGGTTCCGCGCCCGCGCCACATGCGTAGCGGACGCAGCGGTGGCGTAGCTTTTTACATCAAACGCAGTTTGTGCGCGCGAGTTGTACAGCATCCTGTCGCAAATATTGAACAAATGTGGGTAAACGTAACCTTTAATGGAGTACGGGTTATTATTGGAACGGCTTATCGACCAGAATGGGTAGGCATTGATGTTTTTCTTGATGCTGTTACGGAGTCAGTAACATACTTTTCTAATTACGATTACATTGTCCTACTTGGGGACTTTAATGCTGACATGTCAGATGTTCATAATATGAAGACTAAAAAAATTCAACAGTTTCTGCAGTGTTTGAATCTTAAACAGGTGGTAACTGAACCAACTCACTTTTCTATACACAATGAGACACTTTTAGACATTATTTGTACCAATGCACACGCGCAGGACGTAACTGTAAATAACATCACTGGTTCCTTGGGTCATGCTATGGTTATCACTACCTTATCAATTAAAAAAAGCAAAAGTACACCAAAGACCATAACGTATAGACCTATTAAAGATATGAATATGACAGAGTTTATTGAAGATTTAAATTCCATGAACTGGGAATCCGTGTTGCTTTGCTCATATCGATTCTATGGTGAATACGTTTAATTCGTTAATATATTGTATATCAAAATTAGAAACGGTATGGATAACAAATACTATTAAATATATGATGGATTTACGCGATAAGGCATTTAAGAGATATCGTAGATCTAAAAATGGTAATCATAAGGAGTATTATATACAATGTAAAAAGCTAGTAAATAGTAGTATTTATTATGAAAAAAGAGCGTATTTTAATCATTTAATTAATTCTAAGTGTGACGATCCTAAACTATTCTGGAAAAATATTAGGGATAAAATTAATATAAATATAAAAAAAAAGGACTGCTTACCTGATCGTTTCAATGACCCGAACGAAATCAATGACTCTTTTATTAACGTGCCTGCCCACTCGTCTGTGTCTATTTCCGATCTGACATATTTTGAGTATCACAGATATGGTGATATTTCACTCACTCTTAAACCGGCCGACGAGAGTGAAATAGCTAAGTACTTGTTGTCTATTAAGTCCAACGCTTGTGGGGTGGATGGTATAGGGAGAGACATGATCTTACAGACCCTGCCACGTACACTGTCGATAATAACGGCTATAATTAATAAGTCTATCGTAACAAGCGCGGTGCCCGAATTATGGAAATCGGCTATTGTCACTCCTATACCGAAAGTAGATAATCCAGTAGAACTAAAAGATTTGCGTCCAGTTAGTGTTCTTCCATACTTGTCGAAAATACTGGAGAAAGTTATTTACACCCAGTTGTCTAAGTATGTTGAGGAAAATTGTATCTTACCAGCGATGCAATCCGGCTTTCGCAAAGGTAGAGGTACAGTTTCCGCTTTATTGGACGTCGTTGACAATATTCTTACGAGTCAAGATAGTGGAGAGGGATCACTTCTAGCATTATTAGATTACTCTCGTGCTTTTGACAGTATCAGTATTCCACTACTTCTGGCAAAATTGACATTTTACGGTTTGGACGAACAGTCAGTCGGATGGTTTACGAGTTTTCTCGATAATCGTAGACAGACTGTTAAATTGGTGGGGAGAGCTGGTAGACCTGCGTTTTCTGATTCTTCGGAAGTCACGCGCGGAGTGCCTCAGGGCACAATACTCGGTCCATTACTGTTTATTTTATATAGTGCTGATCTTATAAAACAGATACAACATTGCAAATACCATATTTATGCAGATGATGTTCAACTTTATATCCCGGCTTCTCGCGGAAATGTCTCAGGAAGTGTTTCAAAATTAAATGAGGATCTTGAACGTATTGCGAATTGGTCGGTTAAAAATGCAATGATGTTAAACCCCAAAAAATCTGTATACATGGTTCTAGGATCTAAAAAACAAGTAAAATTTATATTTAGCCAGAATCCTGACATATATATTTCCGGGGAAAGAATTGACTATGTTAAAGAAGCTAGGAATCTTGGAATAGTAATCGATAGTGAACTACGCTTTGAGACTCATGTTCTAAAACTAGTTCAAAGCTGCTTTTATCGTCTAAGAGTTCTATATCAAATTAGAAATCTTCTGAATGAGGAAGTTCGTGTCACTCTTTGTGAATCATTGATCTTGTCTAAATTGAATTACGGCGATTTAGTGTATGGACCTCGATTGCATTCTAAAACTCAACGTCTTATACAGCGAGTACAAAATGCATGTACTAGATTTTGTCACAATATTCCGCCTAGAACGCACGTAACGCCATATTTAAATAATTATTCCACCTTAAACATGTCCTCTCGGAGAAACTTTCATCTCGCTTGTACAGTATTTGACATCTTAAAGTATCGGCGACCGGAATATCTATATTCTAAATTACAATTTAATTCATTCCATGACAAATATAGTACAAGACCCACGCGCTACTTATTAGCAGGGCGTCCTCATAAAACTGTGGCGTTTGAGGGAAGTTTCCGCTACCAAGCTACGAAATGCTGGAATAATATACCACCCCCAATAAGATTGTCTAATAGTAAACACATTTTTAAAAAAAAACTTAAAATCTTTTTAATTAATAAACAAAAAATTGGAATACCCAATAGGTACGTAGCCGAAATATTTATTGCCTGAATATCTGAATGTGACAGAAAGTGATCTCTGACTACCCCTCATCTAATGGTATCTGTTATTTATTTATTTATGTAGAATATAATGTCAAGTGGAGGCAAATATAATGGACACATACAATGCAGTTTATTTATATGTGTATGTGTGTGTGTGTATGTATGTGTATGTGTATGTATGTGTATGTATGTATGTATATGTATATATGTGTGTATGTATGTATGTGTGTGTATATGTATATATATTTATATTGTAAATTTTTAATGAAAAGTTTCGCGACTGACTCTTGGCCACAGCAGAATATCAGTGTTTTGCTCTTTTAAGGGCAAAGCAATAAACTGAGCTGTGACCATTTTGTGTTACTATGGCACACGCATGAAGGAATGTTAACAAAGGAGATTGTTAGATTATGTATTTTGTTTTTGTATTTTTGTTTTTGTATTTTTGTTTTTTTATTTGTGCTTTTTTTATTTTTATTCTTTTGTCTCTTTTGCTGTGTATTACGTGTATGTTTTTTTTTTTTTTATTGTAATTTGTGTGCTGTAAGTAATGCAAATAAATTGTCTATCTATCTATCTATCTATCTATCTATATATATATATATATATATATATATATATATATATATATATATATATATATATATATATATAAGATATATTCGTAATTAGTTACTAACACATGCACACTTTTTTATAAAAATATAAACAAATATGATGAAAATCATATTAGTGAAAATTTACATTTAGTTAATCGCTGATTTAAATTATAATTATAATGAATAAATTAATTAATTAATTCATGACAGAATGAATTAATATTTACTTAAAAATCATTAACAATTGCAAATATCAAATCTTTAATTTGAGTACTATTTGTACTTTCAATGTATCAGCAATATTTTTAATTAAGACGGTTTATTCACGATATCCGTTAATTAGCTAACCATAACTATTGTGAAATCTTTATCTCTAACCAACTCGCACGCCGCTTGGGACCCACCTTACTTAGGAGACTGCTGTATCCTCCCAGATGCTTCCACCGAAGCGCAGCAGTGCTTCAAGACTTCTTCCGTGTCTGCATTATATAGTTATGCAACTTCAGGTGAGAAGTTACCAGAATAGAGAATGCTCTGCTACCAATTTTATTGGTTTTTATTTTTATATATTGGTTGTGCCTGTTTTCAGCCTTATATTTTTTGCAGTTTGGTTCATCGGTGCATTTGATTTTGGGCCATTAAAATTAGCATGATGAGTAATTATAGGTTTATTTTTATTGGAAACGGTTCATTAATTTTTAGCTCTTAATTGGATAATAGTAATCTTGTAACCATACCATAGGAATGTAACTATCATTAGTTTTAATGAGGTTTCCTGGTTTTTTTTTTTTTTAATTAAAAAATATTAATGGGTGTCATACAAAAATATATCAATTTAATATCATTATTTATATAACAATGATTTCTTTTACACATTTCATTGGATATCTTTTCATATCTTAACATCATCATGTATTTTTATCATCAGTAACTATTATATATTTGGAAATACAAAATAAAGGGCACATATAATTGATATGTTCAGATGTTTTGGAATTTTCAGACTCTGGGAAACTCTAGAGGTCAAAGGATGGCTGATCCAATTATGATGTACCAAAATTACGGGCTCCATACTCATATCCTCAATCTTGAAGACAAACAAATAGTGATTCCTGAAGATGATGATTCAGATATAATTATAGTTGATGAAGATTTCAACAGTAATACTATTGAAGAGGGTAGAGTGGAAGAATTGAAGACGGAACAAGATGACGTTGATGTGACTACTACTGTAATGTAAGTTACCACTTAGATATATATATATATATATATATATATATATATATATATATATATATATATATATATATATATATGCTTCAAATTGCTTATTGTCCGACTCAACCCACTGAAACTGAGCAGAGATGTTGCATCTCCGTGCATCTTCTACCGAATTTATCATGGGGATTGCTCTGAGGAATTGTTCGGATTGATACCTGCTGCTGATTTTCACCACCGTACAACTAATCTAAAATTACATCCCAATAATCTGGACGAGTGGCGGTCTTCCACCGTGCGTTTTCAAGGCATTTCTTTCATGCACAACCACTCTTTGGAATTAACTTCCAGCAGCAGTATTTCCGAACCGATATGACATCATAACCTTCAAGAAAGGAGCATATTCCTTTTTAAAAGGCCGGCAGCACACCTGCAATGCAGTTAGTGTTGTGGGTGATCATGGGCGGCAGTAGTCACTTAGCGAGCCGCATGCTCGTTTGTCCCGTGTGTTGTAAAAAAGAAGAAATTAATTCTTACCTTAACCAAATTTGCTTTAACGTTTTTGAAGATGTTTGTAAAGTTATTACATACATCTCTACTATAAATAAATAAATATGAATGTTTATCACATTGTATATTTACTTTCATCTCATCCTCAATCTGATCATCATACTCGAGAAGGGATACTTCTAGTAGGATCTTTTTAAGAATACTGTAATTGATTGTAATTTTTATCAATACGAAGTTTGTGATTGTTACTTTTACATTTAATCACTCATATTTTTTTTTTGTAAAATCACTTTTTATTGTAAAAAGTAATAACTAAGTTTCTTGACCATTCTCCTCAACTTGAAAAGTATGGGTAGTAAATTCATAGAAATTTACTATTCAAAAAACTTATAGTTAGGTTCAATTAAATAAAAAAATATTATATTGTTACTTATTTATTTTGAGATAGAATTTAACCAGGATACGAAATACTAGATAGAAAATATGGTTAACATATAGGTAGATGACATAGACATAGACTATAGGATAATACTATCCTCGGTTAATTTTAAAATACTTTTTCAAATACTTTCATTAATCTCTTGTTATGAATAATTCTAATCGATGTTTACAATTACTAAATAACTTTTATCCGCAACCTCGTCCACGTGACCAGTTTAGAAACAAAAGTTTAATAATAGATTACTATTCTAGCTAACAGAATACTTATAAATAACTAACTTAAAATAATTACCTTACAGTCTTGCCCATAACTGTTTTTAATAAGAGCAACAATAACAACTCAAGACGTAGGTGTTAAAAGCTTTGCTTTACCTAGATAGGAAGAGCATTAGCATAAAACAACGATAAGGAAGCCAGAAACACCGGCCCGACTTATACGGAATAAGTAACAGTATGCAATAATCGTGAATACAAACGTATCCTACAAAATTATATTTTTAACAACATTTAAACAAAGAACACGAATAGACGTTATTGTAGTTACAGGTAATTAAAGACTTTGGGAGTCTTCGTACAAAAGTCGTTTAAGGACCTCTATTTCGATTGTGAAGCAGTTGTGTTTGCATGGCTGTGTTTCGGTTTGAAGGGTATGATATGGCAGTGAATTTACAGGGTACAGAGGAATAACACCTGAGTCCTCAGAAATGGCAAAGCATCCCCCATGCGTTGCCATCATGAGCGAAACAGTATACTCTGTTATGTCCATCCATGGTACTGCTCATGTCTATAGGCGACGGTTACCACTTTCCATCAGGTGGGCCGTCAGCTTGTTTGCCATTCCAAGTTGTATAAAAAATAAATAAAGAGAATTATCAGAACAAAGTATGGCAAAAAGTATGGTTGTCTTTATCGTTTCTAAATGTAGTTTTTTTTCGCTTAGCCCTGAAGAAGCCATGGACACCAAAGAATATGCATGGATGACTACTGAATGGTCACCATGCAATGCACCTTGTGATCAAATAGGCCACCAAGTCAGAGGCGCCGTTTGTCAAGTAAGTACAATTTTACGCGTTCAAGCATCCAATTTCGAAGGTAAAATAAAACTAAGTATCAATTGATACAGTGAGTTTTATATGACGATTTCATTTCATCATTCTATGATAGTCAATTGTTCCCGTTATCATGAACATAATACTCAAAAAGTTCACATTTCCTCGAGCATTATCAGAATTTAACACACTAAGAAATAAGTCTACCAATTTTATGTATAACTATAATGTTGAGTGTAATTTTTTTTAGTCTTTCCAATTACTACTACTACTACTATTAAGTACTTACTACTACTTAAGTCTACTTAGTATAATATTGGTTTTTAACGATTCAGTTCACTTTCGTCAAATATTTCAGGTATATAAATAATTTACAAATATTGGAAATTGTTTTTAAAATTCTAGACAATTTCTACACTTTAATATACAGTATAGAAAATTTAATATCACGATATGTATTGAATATTTCATACGAAATACAAAAACTTTTTTTAAAAAAATTCACACATACGAGTATACGCTCAGAAAACAGTTTAAAAGTGATGATCCAAACATAGCACGTACAAGTATTTCATCACATCGACAATTAATTTAAAAATGATGAAATAATAATAATTGAATAAGAATAAAACGATTGTGATTAAAATAAAAATAAGTATAATAAAAATAATTATAAAGATAAATGAGGTATCTATTGTTTCTCATTTGCGCCGTAATATATGCAATTATAGAGACGCTATTAACATCATCTCCATGTTACCTTATCGCCCCGCTTGTAACCTTCTTCTTTTAATTTACTTGCCACAACAGCACAAAACAGGCAACACAACGACCACAGTCGAGACAGAGCAGTGCCTCTCCCGCGCGGTGAAGCCCCCGTCGGTGGTGCGCGACTGCCACGGCGACACTTGCGGTACATGGCGGACGACTGCCTGGTCGCCAGTCAAGTGTCAAAGTAGCGGTGCGGGTAAGTTTTTTTTTATTATTATTTTAACCATTTCCTGTCTACTGCTGAACATAGGCCTCCCCATAAGGGGAATCTTGCCATTAGATGCCACTCTTGGCAGGCGGGTTAGCAACCGCAGTTAGGCCTTTGAGAATGTTTTAAGAGGGATGCTGCTGCCCATCTCTCGCCCTCTCTTGGGCGCCTCTTACGACACCCACGAGAAATAAAGGGGTGGCCCATTCTATGCCGGAGTACAAACGCCAAAATAATTTTACCAATTCTTAATTGTATTTATTGAATGTTAAGTGACTGATGAATGAATATTATACGAATTATAATTGAATAATGAAATAATAGTGTATGAATGATGAACAAAAGTTAATTGAAAGATGAATGAATGGTTATAGAATTATGAATGAATAAATAATTGTTAAATGAATTAGTGACTAAAACATGTACAAATGATAAAGTGTATATAATATGATAAAATGAATGAATAAATGATATACGAATAATTATTAATTAATTAATGATGACAAGTTTTTCTGACATACTGTGCGTTGTACTATCAATGTGCAGAAGATTAATTCTTCTATCTACCATCATCTTCATGATCTCGCCTTTACTCCCAATTAGCCTTCGTAATAATGTGCAACTAAAACTTGCGTATTTAATAATTTCATGCAGCTATAGTAAGACGACGCGTAGACTGCATCAGTGACAACAGGACTGTACTCCCAGACTCGTCTTGTGACCAAAGCACAAGACCTGAGAAGGTGAGACGGCATCCGAAACCTTGCAAGGCCGTTTGGATCGTCGAACCTTGGAGTAAGGTGAGTTACTCGTATATATTTATAGATGTTTCTACCTAAAGAACAATACTGAGCCGAAGGAAATTTATAAATTGCCCATGCTGTGTCTGCTCACAAACTGCTCACGTTTTCCAGGGTCGACCACGCAGTGTTCGATTTAGCTGGGTACTTTGCCAGTGATATAACTAATAAAATCTTTTTATTGATAATCCTCTCCTCAAAGGAAGAGGTCCAAACAAAGACGTATAAATATGTTCATAACTTTTTAGTGTAAAGGACCTTGTGGCGGTCAAGGTCACCAGTACAGGGTCCTCAGATGTGTCTGGCGTGCTGGCACGAAGCGTCGGAACAAGAGGAAGAGTGCCGCCGCCGCTTGTGAGGATTTACCAAGGCCTGACGTCGTCAGGCCTTGCGAGATGGGCTCCTGCACCACCAGAGGTGAGACCCAATCTGACATTCCCTGATGACAATATTTATTCTTTGATCACAAAATTAAAAGCCCCCTATTGTATACTTATATAAGTTTTCAAAATTTAATATAATGAATAGAATTTAATATCTGCGTACTTGTCGAATTTTTCAATTCAAAGGAAATTTTTATTTATTTCCAAATGAACAACAAAATTACAAATTTCCTATGTAATCACCAATGATGCAGGAAAAAGGTTTTCTTTGTTAATCCACTGGCTTTTTGCCTGCTACTTTGCACGTTGAAATTACAGAAGTAGGAAAATTAAAACACTTCCAGACGACGTATTAATATGAAACATGCACCAGATTTTAAGTTAGACCTTCAGGAATATAACTATAGGAACCGAATCCTATTTGGTATAGTAGTTTTTGCGTGATATCGTAACAAATATATCGACAAACAAATAAAATTTTTCAAAATTCGTTTGGCAGTTTGTCTTACCTTACCTCTTATATTATGTTTTCTTAAATATTAAATATATAATAGACACTGTCTATTATATATTTAATATTTAAGAAAACAGAATATAAGAGGAAATTTTATTATATTAGTAAGGTGACTGAAAAGTAATTCAACTGTGGAATATTTGCACGGTTCGGTTTTTTTTAGAATACAAAATAATACATACAAATATACATACTCTTTCCTATACAACTCAGTATAGGTTGTATTTAATATTTTCAAAATGGCCGCCTCCATAAAATAACAGAGATTATATATTTTTTCTTAAACTAACATATTACTAATATACCTAATATTTTTTTTTTATGCAACTTAAAATAGACATGAGCAGTACCGTGGACGTAACAGAGTATACTATTTCGCCCACGATACTCCCCATGCGTTGGACTGAGGACTCAGGTGTAAATTCATTGCCACATTTATTTGCCCACCCTTCAAACCAAAACACAGCCATGCAAACACTACTGTTTCACGGTTAAAACACGAACGGGACAGAGTTGCCCATGTAAACAACTTTTATACAAAGTCTCCCTCTGGTGAATATATATTATATATATAAATACTAATCATCACAATCTAATATATATTAGATTGTGATGATTAGTTTTTATAATTAGATAATTAATTTATATAAAATAATTAAATTAGACAAATAAACTACCATTTTTTTATTACACCAGATGGCATATGCAGGGACAAGTCGAGATTTTGCGAGAACGTGCGCGCAATGAACATGTGCGCGCTGAGGCGTTACCAAGAACTATGTTGCAAGACATGTTCCGACTGAACTAGTGAATAATAGTGAATGACGCTAGACAACCACAGTGTGGCGTGACAGTTCTGATGTTAATCTAGAATGTGATAGATCGATTGGACTGCCGTATTTTGTCTTATGCTGATATTTTTGGAACAAAATCTGTCTGGAATTTTTATTATTTATTTATTATGTTACTTTACACTTTATTGTACCAAGTGAAAAGAAAAATAACAAATACAGTAAATAATAATGAGAAGTGATACAAAATGCGGCCTTATCGCTAAGCAATCTCTTCTAGACAACCCTTGGATAGAGGCCATTGGGAAAAAGACAAAGGGTAGGTGGCGCACTAATATATAAATATTATCATATACAAACATATATATACATACATATACACATATATACACAATCAAATATATACATAAACATTTATCTCAATCAGATCAATGTTGGAATAAATTTTTTCCAAATTGACTCGAGGCTGGGTATTCTGGAGTGTGCCCTCAAATGTTAGACGCCGAATTTCTCATTACACAGGATTAGTTTAATTGAAGCAGGTAATTGTGATTATGTTGCACTTTTTTTTATACCACTAAGGTGGCAAACAAGCATACGACCCACCTGATGGTAAGTTACCGTAGCCTATGAACACCTGCAGTACCAGAGGTATTACGCGTGCGTTGCCGACCCTGAACAAACCTCTTTACCCCCCTTTCTTACTTATCCATTTGACAAAATTGTACTGAAAATAACTGTAGAAACTGAAATCTATTATCTCATTAATTATCAACTATTTAATCATCAACATGTATCTAAATGATCCGAGGGCATTTTTTTCTCTTAAATCAATAGACAGTAATCAAACAACCCATTTCATGGATAGTCGTAAACGTAACATAAGTACATATTTTTTTTATTTCTCTGCCCACCCCGCGAGGAATTCGAAGATTGATGTTACTCACAAGCTTGAGACACTTAAGCGGTACTAAAAATATAAATTGATTAAAACTTATATGTTATATAAATAAATATTATTATATATTATATAAATAAATGTAATAAAAGAGGATTTTTAAATAATCTAAAGGATCATATATTTTTTCTCAACATCTATTTACATTAAATGTCATTTCATAAGCTCTTTATAATTAAATTTCACAATATTTTATTAAAAATTATAATAAATAAATTTCAATATATAAAAAGTATTAAAAAGAAAACTTATAAAGAATTTCGCTTATGTTTTATTAATGAGCTTTGTCTCGAGCGCCGCGTAGTAAGAACTACAATTGCAGACATATTTTGTTCCAATCCAATTACTTATCTGAATAATTTATTTTGAATTCCAGCAAAATTACATTATCGTGGTATTGAAAGAACTATAATTTTAATACATTAATTGAAATATTCAACTCATGCTTTTATTATTTTGACATTGTCTATTTTTATACTTTTATTTTAAACTTTTATTTTCTAAAAATACTATTAAATTGTTAAATTAAACATACCACGATGATGTAAAGTGAAATGTTTATCACATTAAATTACATTTATTCAAATAAAATAATTGTGATAGATTTACATTTAAACAAATTCCATAATGAATGAAATTTAAAAGTGTTCTCACTTACAAAAGTCGAATGAAATTAACGAATGAAATTGTAAAATTTGATTGACAGAGAAAGAAAGAGTATTGTATGTAAGCACAAATGAGACGTAACTACCTAGCTCTAGTCGTAAGAAGCACGTAATATAAAATTAATGACGAGGGAACTACAGTGGTCGTACCAAATACGTCTCTGGCGCATACATAATGAAATTAAATGTAAATTGTTTAAAAGTGTAAACCTCGAATTGATTTATACATACATAGGAAACAAAATATTTAGTGAAATGTTTTGTATTATAATACTATATGTAATGTAAATACATATATTATAAATCAAGCACAGTATGCTACGCTTAGCTCTCAATATATCGTATTGAAATATTAATAAAATTTGCACAAAATATTATAATTATCGCAATAAATGTATAGAAAAATATTAAAGTAGTGAAATTGCCAAATGAATGCAAACTGAGTGAATTGTATTCTTGGTTACATTAAATCATTAATGTAAATGTAACTTTAAAAATTATTATTGTCAATTTAGAAAATATACAATGTTTTATTTATCAAATTAATTTGGCCATCGTAGATGGTTCAAAGTTAAAATATTGTATGTACATTTTAATATTCTAAAATATATTACTTAGCTATATTTAAAAATGAATGACTATTGACATCATTTTTAATAGAAATAACAAAAAAGCAATACAATTCGCTTAAAAAAATTGTAAATATATGCTGGAAGATAAAAAAAAAACATGTTTATCATTTGTATTAACCTATTTAAGATACTTTTTAATTTCTTTTCTGTAAACTTTACATATATTTTCATTATTTATATGTAGTCACTTCATTTATATTATATTAGAAAATACACGGTGCAGTATTATGAAATACGAAATATTGTTAGATAAATCAATTTGTTGTCAATTGTTAGATGCGTTAATGTAATTCATTGTGTATATAATAGGAAAAACTTATAATATCTAATTTAAACAAATAGTATATTTTAAGGGATAGTACATCATATGCAAAAGGAATTTCTTGTTTTCTAAACATGTTGTACGTACGTATGTTTATTGTTTAATTTGTTTAAAATTTAGCTAAATATAATTATTAAATGATCTGACGTATATTTTGTAAACTTTAAGTCAAATTCAAAATTGATTGTATTCATAAACTCATTTTCGTTTTATTATACCAATTGGATGTATGACGTAAAAGGTAGGTAATAGAAAAAAGCTCAATGAATACATTTATAAAACTGTTTTTTTTTTAATAGATAGCTTACAAGGCTGTTTATTTTTTTTTTTTCGCATTACATTCAATTTAACAAATGTTCCATATCAATATTAACTGCCATTGTTATAAAATAATAAATGCTTCGCTTCCCAGGCCGATTGTACCTATATATTGTGAAAACTGTTAAAATATTTTTGGATCGCCAATTATTTATTTTCATACCCGAATTTGAATCCTATATCTGAAACAGAATATTTTTTTTTTCAATTTAAATGAAAATAAAAATTAATATTAAACCTTAAATTAAATAATATTATATTGTGTACTTTCTTATTTTTAAGCTTAGTACAGATAAAACATTTTGAATTTCATAAATGAACTTTAAAATTAAAATAATAATAATATATGAAATTAAAGGTACATTTAAATTTAAATTTTTACATATTTAAATATAAATGAAAATGTAATAAATTTACTTAAAGTAACTTTGTTTACATTTTTAAACAACACCCTTTATTAATAACTAAATTATCCGATATACGTCGTCTTGATCTTTTCAACTCTTTTTTTTTTCCTTTGTTTTATTTATAATAATTTATTTGGATGTTAATTAAATCAGTTCAGATATTTAATAAATCTCAAATAATGTATTTATAAAACGTATATTATACAATTATTGTAATCTTATAGAAGAAACAATAAAGAGTATCTATCTATTTATCTATCTATTATACATTACATTACAACCAGTCACCTGATGGTAAATGGCAATGGTGGTCGTATCCTGTAGACATAAACAGCCCTACTTATATCACATATGGCCCAAGGTGTATTTACATCTCCCATGTATTGAATTTTATTCAGTAGAATTACCACTTTAGAAAGAATTGAGTGCGAGAGACGTATATGTTCCAGTCAAAACTCTTCACAAGTCAAAAGTACTGTTGACTAGCAAAATCAGTTAAAAGTACTTTTGACGGAACAGGTTGGTCAAAAGTGGTTTTGACTGAAAATCATTGGTTATTAGTACTTTTGACTGCTTTGCAGTTAGGTTAGCTTAGATTAGTTACTTTTAACTGTTATTTTTGTCAAAAGTATTATTGACTAAAGCATACGGTCAAAAGTACTTTTAACTGGTTTCATCATTGCTTTATTAATATACTAATTTCAATTATAATAAACAAATAATAATAAATTTTGTATATAAACGTAACAAATCTGTACTAAGCCTAAATTTCATATAATATATGTAAATTTGAAAATGTAATACAACCTTTAGTAATGAAATATGTACACACAATTTATCTTAATTCCTATTTATTCTCCACTGAATTATTTTCCATTTATAATTAACAATAATTACTAGAACCATTAATTTTAATGCCCAGAGAATTAAGTCCAAATTGTATATTATACCAAGAATTTTGAAATATAAATATATAAGTAAGTTACTGAATTCATTTGTTTCATTTTTACACTAACATTTTGGAATTGTTGACGATCGGCGCCTTACTATCCGGCTCAACCCACTGAAACTGCATACAGATGTTGCATCTCTGTGCATCTTCTGCCGAATTTATCATGAGGAGTGTTCTGAAGAATTGTTCGGATTGATATCTGCTGCTGATTTTCACTAATTTACAACCCGCCACAAACTAAAATTTCATCCCAACCATCTGGACGAGTGGCGGTCCTCCACCGTGCGTTTTTCAAGGCACTTTCATCCACGCACAACCACTCTTTGGAATCAACTTCCAGCAGCAGTATTTCCGAACCGATACGACAACATAACCTTCAAGAAAAGAGCTTATTCCCTTTTAAAAGGCCGGCAGCACACCTGCAATGCCGTTGGTGTTGTGGGTGACCATGGGCGGCGGTAGTCACTTACCATCAGGTGAGCCGCATGCTCGTTTGTCCCGTGTGTTGTAAAAAAGAAGAATAATAAAAAAGAAGGTAAACCCGTGCACTAGACACTAGTGACTAGTGCACGGGTTTACCTGTAAACTATGTTAGCCCATAAACTGTATCTTTGGAACCTGTCTTAGCAAAATAAGCATTAAATAGCGACTAAATATAAATTCTGAGTTTAAACAATAAGGGATTCGTCGTCATCGTCATGTCAGCCCCACATACATATGATCATAAGCCTCCCCTTGGGGGGTTTTGCCAGTAGTTGCCACGCTTGGCAGACGGGTTTTTTTTTAATGGATGATAATGAAATAGTAACCCGACCCGCGCTATCGGTATACACCGGTGGGGCACCAGTGAAGGATGATTGGTGAGGATGAAGTAGGTCAGTTGGCCTACCGTGACGAATTCAACGAGAATTGTTCACGATGGTTTCCACGTGGTTTCCACGTGGAGGTCGACCTAATAAGGCATATCGCTAGCAATGGAACTGTTAAACTCCATTACTAACAATTCCTTTCCCCCTAGCAGACGGGTTAGCAACCGCAGTTTGGCTTTTGGTGATATTTGAAGAGGAACGCTGCTGCCCATCCCTCGACCACAAGCTCTCTTAGTCGCCTCTTATGACACCCACGGGAAAGAAAGGGATAGCCTATTCTATTCCGGAACGTACATAGCTAAACAAGCATTAAATAGCGACTAAATATAAATTCAAAGTTAAAAAATAAGGGATTTTTACCTCTTTAGATTAAAAAAAAAAACAATATACTAACATTTTTTATATTGCTTTTACTGGTAAACAACCAAACAGTCCATCTGATGGTAAGTAATAACAGTCTGTCATCCATAGACAGCAATAGTACCATGGACTCATGTATTGCCATTATTATGAATTACGATAGAATAAGAACTAAAAATGACGATTAGAAAATGCTTGTAAGTCAAGTCTATTTTTTTTTATACAACTTAGAATGGCAAACGAGCTGACGGCGCACCTGATGGAAAGTGGTAACCGTCGCCTATAGACATGAGCAGTACCATGGACATAACAGAGTATACTGTTTCGCCCATGATACCCCCATGCGTTGCCTATAGGCGACGGTTACCAATTTCCATCAGGTGGGCCGTCAGCTTGTTTGCCATACTAAGTTGCATAAAAAAAAACTTTTTTTTAAATATTTTCCTTTCTTTTTTTTTCTCATGTATTTGCCGTAGTAACACTAAATGTAGTAATAATTTTGTTTCTATTCAAACGAAGTATTCGATAAATAAAAGCTGTAAGAAACAATGCATTAAAAGATCAGTTAATTTGTAAGAACAGAGGACATACGAATAAAAACAAATAACTCGATCCAAACAGACACTACACGGCTCGGTGACGTCACAGCCGCGGCGCGCTCTGATTGGCCGTCGCGCTTCCCGCTCCAGCGCGCATCACTGATTGGCCTAATCAACAATGTCCCTGATTGCAAGGTGCATTGTTCAGTTAGACGGTAATGCAGTTTGAGACAATGGTTCAATAAGTTTTTCACGGGACACGTACTTTTTCCAGTAAGTATTCTGTTAATTAATTCGTTCATAAAAAATCTGCAAACGCTTCATTTTGAGTGAATAAGATTTCTGTCTATTTGTTTTACAACACAGGGGGCAAACGAGCGTGCGGCTCACCTGATACCGCCTCCCATAAGACTGGTCGCCACTAAGTCCAGTTTCAAAATTAATTTACAAAAATTCTTAATTGAAACGCAAAAGTTAGACATTCCAGCAGGTTACCTCTATGTTCCATTCGTCTGCTAGATACACTGACATGTCTGTCTGTTTACTGTACATCTATCTATTTACTGTATGGATAATCTGGTAGTATTGTTTTATTGTTACCCTATTCCCTTTGGCCGCAACAGAATATCAGCGCTTTGCTCTTTTGAGGGCGAAGCAATAAACTGATTTGTGGCCGTTTTGTATTGCTATGGCACACGCACAAACGAAAATTGTATTTAGCTTTATGTATTTTTTTTTATCATTTATGTTATCTCGCTTTTTTTGTATATGTATGTTGTAATTTGTGTGCTGTAAGTAAGTAATGCAAATAAATTATCTATCTATCTATCTGATAGTAAGTGACTACCGCCGCCCATGATCACCCACAACACCAACGACATTGCAGGTGTGCTGCCGGCCTTTTAAAAAGGAATATGCTCTTTTCTTGAAGGTTATGATGTCGTATCAGTTCGGAAATACTGCTGCTGGTTGGAAGTTGATTAAAAAATCCTATATTTTTTTTTTTGTATATTCAGAAAAATTTATGTCCCCAAAAAGTATTTTTAACAATGATTCCTATTATAGTATATATTATTTATTTATACTGCGTTTCAATTTATTTTTATCCTTGTTTCCCCTTTTTTCAGTCTTATTATTTTTCTGTTACCCCTTGACCAGACACAGTTTTAATTATTACTCTCCATCTTAAGGTTGCCTGAAAAGATCTCTATTGAACGATAAGGCCGTCCATTGTTGCCTCTTTATCTTGCTTTTGTATAACGAAGTTCATGTAATTTTTTTTTTATACAACTTAGAATGGTAAACAAGCTGACAATATGTACTTCTATATTTTGGCTTTTCTAGGGATTTGAAGGTAAAAGAACAGTTGTTGAAAGTTGAAAGGTGTGTGTCTTTGGGAGGGTTCCTGTGTGTGTGAGCATGTGCATACATGTGCGGGTGCGTGTGCGTGCGTGATCGTGTCCGTGTCCTGTGCGTGTGGGTGTGCAGGATGTGTATATGTATATGTGCAATTACTCACATATTAAAATCTAAAATCAAACCAATATTGTATATAATATGTTATTCTTGTACAAATGTACATAATGCGTATGTATATCCAACTCTCTAATCCTCTTAAACTGATTGGTTCTGTCGCTGCGATTTAATTATCGTCTAGTGCAGCATGCTGAGCAAACGTTATTGCAATAGCTGTTATGCGTATGAAACTGCGCGATGCAATAATTTAAATAATTTTAAACAATTAATAATTTAATCGCTTTACATACAAAAAAGTTTTTTTTTTACAACACAAGGGGCAAACGAGCATGTGGCTCACCTGATGGTAAGTGACTACCGCCGCCTTTGATCACCGACAACACCAAAGGCATTTCAGGTGTGGTGCCGGCCTTTTAAAAAGGAATATACTTTTTTCTTGAAGGTTATGTTGTCGTATCGGTTCGGAAATACCGCTGCTGGAAGTAAGAATAGTATGCATACAATGCAATACAGAAGAATTAAGATCTTTAAAGAATATTTTAAAAATCTGTCTGTTTGTTTTTCGTTAAGATCTATATATCCAAGAGAAAATACAGACTTACATACTGTCCACGCATTTAATGATAGATAGATAGATAATTGATTTTTTTATACAACTTAGAATGGCAAACAAACTGATAGTCCACCTGATGGAAAGTGGTAACCGTCGCCTATACACATGAGCAATACCATGGGCATAATAAAGTATACTGTTTCGCCCATGATACCCCCCATGCGTTGCCATTCCTGAGGACTCAGGTGTTATTCCTCTGTACCCTGTAAATTCACGCCATATCCCACCCTTCAAACCGAAACACAGCCATGCAAACACAACTGCTTCACGGTTGAAACACGAATGGGCAAAGGTACCCAAGCAATCGACTTTTGTACAAAGTGTATATATATATATATATATATATATGTGTATATATATATATAAGTGTATATGATATATATGCGTATTACCATTTAATACTAGAGTATATACCCTGTCAGGTCAACTTCCACGTGGTTTCCCCTGAAAACCATCCTATTGAATCCCTAGTGTATTCATCATTCTCACCTATCATCCTTCCCTAGTACCCCGCTCGTTAACGCAGACAGGGTTACCATTCCATTATCATCCATTAAAAAAAACACCCAGACCCGAGCTAATTGAGAAAAGTTAGTTTCCTAAATTGGCACTATTTATTAAAATTAATTATTTATTTATTTACACTTTATAAAGTACCAAGTAAAAAGAGAAATAACAAATACAGTAAATATTAATGAGAAGTGATACAAAAGGCGGCCTTATCGCTAAGCAATCTCTTCCAGACAACCTTAGGGTTGAGGTCATTGAGAAAAAGAGAGCTATTAAGTAAGTTACTGGTCGATTAAAATAAAACAGCAACATGCACGGATGCATAACACTGCAAGCCTGCAGCATTTGGTATTGTGATATGCACCGATATATCCACATGTTTATGTATGCACGCGTCGTATTTGACTAGATAGACTTATCGGCGTAAATTTGGCTTTTAAAATTAACAATTCTGGCTAAAATCGATAGTGACTGCATAATATGCGATAGTGATGAGACGAGTCATACTTTTTTAATATTCGAATATTTTGATACTTGTTTAGAAATTAACCCGTAATTCTCGAGTCGAAAAACTCGAAATAATCGAATATTGCAATTCGAGTAGTTTATTAGAGCCGTATACTTTTTTAAATGATCTCTGAAGTTTACTTTTTATACC